TGTTATCATGTCAATATGGCGCAAAATCTCTGAGGAATATTTCCAGTACCTTGTTGTATCTATGCCATGAAGGGTTAAGGCAGTTCTGAAAGCAAATAAATAAGGTGTACCTAATAAAGTGGCCGGTGAGTGTAAACAAGACGAAAAAATATTGTTTGGTTGTTTTCCTGCTGTTAAAAAAACCAAAACACCAAAGTGACCCGAAAGCCAACATGGGAGAGTTAAATGACCGAGAAAATTTGGCCAATTGAAACTCGATTCTGTCCTTCAATTGGCTTGAACTCTGGATCGCTGTAATGTAATCAGTGTGTCAATGAGACCGTCCGGAGTGAATGAAGGATCGCCACACAGCACGACTCTGCAATCCTGCCTGTCACACCAGCAAACTGTTTACATTCCCGAACTGATCTAGAGGGTAACTACATCAAGACATTCAATTCACATTCAGCAAATATTCGTTTTGATGTCAGACAGTCCATATTATTTGACTAGACATTTCTCAATATTCAGCTTAAAGTGACATTTAAAGGGTTAACTAGGTTATTCAGGCAAGTTACGGTAATTAGGCAAGTCATTGTATAACAGTGGTCTGTTCTGTAGACTATACAAAAAATATTGCTTAAGAGGGCTAATAACATTGACCTTAAAATGGTTTGAAAAAAATTAAAAACTGTTTTTCTTCTCGCTATATATATATATATATATATATATATATAAACAGTCATTTCTCAGTTGTCTTTACACCTTGCACTGGCTTTTGGGAAATTGTTCAATGAGGCTTTATAGCCAGATTTATACTGACACAACATACTGTACTGCTGGATGGGAATTTAAAGGTCAAAGATTAAAGGCAAACATGAACTTTGCATCCAGAGCCTCATCAGCCAGTTCAGTTCAGACTTTGGGATCAAATAAAAATAAAAATCAGCATTATTTATGGGCTTTTAATATTCTTCATTTTAAAACTGATTGCTTATTCAAGTTAAGCCTTTCATCTAATATTTAATGTTCACTTTTTATTTTAATTGTAGTTTACTGCAGGTATTAGTAATCTTGCTAGATTTTCTTACAATTTATGTTTAATATTGAATTATGTTTTTTTATTATATATTTAAATAAGTCAATCAATAAGTCGATCATGATTTCATAATATGGGTTTACGATCTACCTAAAATCTTATACAAATGCACTATTGGCTATTTCAGTACTTATATATTAATTTAAGTATATGTCTTAAACTCAAACATTTCTCACCTTTCTAAGACAAATCTGACGAGAAACACCTGAGGCAAGACTTGAAGCTCTAAAAGATAATATTCATCAAATGAAATGCAACCGGAGAGCAGTTTTTGTGGACTCTCTCTGTCACTCATTAGTATCCTGTTCGCTCCTGTCATGCCAAAATTAATATAAGCCCGTCTGGCAGCGTCCACTCCAGCCATAACTCACCTTATATCTGTTATCAAGCATCTAAAAATAAAGCTCCTGAGATGAAGAGCATCTGACAGTCAGGGCTAATGATGAAACTTCTGCTCAGACAATGATCTGAGGACAGCAGCGATGTTTACGAGCGAGCTAAATGCTGCATTGTGTAACTATAGTACACAGATGACACTGTTACTTCATATGTGCTTAATATCTCTCTGAAATAACGCAAACACTCTCAAAGTGCGTAAAAGAGTATTAAGAGTTGAGCATGATACGACGAGAATACTAGTTATAGCGTCCATGGATATATACGTTAAATGTCGCCTACCCTAATGTTGTCTTATGGACGGAATGCGTCAACAGATCCGCCATTTTAGTACAGGGTAACGCTCCTTTGAAATGAACGCTTCTTTTAAACGAGCGCCATCTAGCGGTCACATAATGTAATGACCAAATATTATGAACTTCTTTTATAAATACATATAATTTGACATTAACTATTTTTTCTTACCAACCCCACTGGTCTTTTTCACAAGACAACATTTTATTGTTGGAAACTGTGTTTTATATATATCTATATTTGACTTTTGCATGCTTGAGGAAGAGACGTTTTACTTGATTTGGGTCATTAAAAAACTCAGACTACCAATATTATGATATAGGTTGCCTATATCTGCTGTATTCACCCTAAAACCTACAGTAGGTTGACATAAAACCAAAGACAACACCCATTCTTGTCTTAAGACATTAAGCAAATTTTTGAATAACAGTAAGTTCATGACATGTTACATATATAGTAAATCTGCTGGTTTTAAACATACAGCATAATAATAATAAATACAGGTATGTAACAACCATAACATTACTCTTATGTCTTAGGACAAATATGATTAACTTTTGATTACATACACCAAATGTTGACTATTGAAGGTACATTGATAACTATTTATTTGTAGACTACTGTATTGTCAAACCATGCTGCATACAAATGCATTCAACAGACTTGTATGACAGTGTATTGCTGTAGAGGACAAATAAAACACGAGACAGATGTTTAGGAAGAGTTTAGTTTATTTTGTTTGACCTGCAAACTTTTCTAAACAAGACAAACTCTCAGAAAACACACCGGAAACATTATGATGCGCGCGCTCGTGGAGATACCCCGCGGTCGTCTTCAACTGTTGTCTTCAATAGTCCTTCTTTGCTCAACAACTCATCTGAAAAACAAAGCAAAACATTACAACATTCAGACAAAGAGCAGAGAGCATAGAATCACCAAGAGGCGATACTCTAGTGCAATTTGGGAAACAACGCGCTTTTTGAATAAATTAAATAAAAACAAAGCCGCTGTTTGCCATTGCGTCAGCAATGATATCCAATGCACGAGCGATCACTTTCACTTCAAAATGGCCGAATCTGTTGCTCTTGGTCATCCTAGGCTCTTTGCATAAAGTTAAATCATAACAGTTATCATGGTTTCTATTTCAAACTATAGTAAACTAAAGTTTGAAACTATAGTTTAAAATAGAAGATGAGTGGGCCTCGCTACTCCCACCCACCATAACCCTCGCAGCGAGGTCCCACTACCGGCCCCCCGTGTTTCCCTGAGGGTCCTCGGGGGTTGTTTGTTCCCTGCCTAGGGCTCAAAGGCCGCCTCGCCCCAGGGAGTGCACGGAAAGACCGGGCGCCAGGCCGTGCCAGTATTCACTGGATGTTGCTCGGCGGCACATTTCGAGCAACAAACACGTAATATTCTTCGCGATATTGCGTTTATGTACGCAAACCGCAAGGAACTACAGCACAGACGGGCCCGGGTGAAGCATCACGAAGCGGACTTCGTGAGTTTGGCTTAGCTCCACTCGTACCGTCGGTATTGAACTCACCTTGGTCAAGTACAAACAGCTACACCGGGCGAACTGACGACGCTGAGTGAGAGCACACGAGCTTTATAGGAATGCATATGCAAATTTTTACAAGGCACACTGTTGTCTCGTCGTCATGGCGAGCGCTGAGGAGGGCTAAGCTGATTGGAGCACAGATTCTCGGGAATTTGCGTCACGGCTAGTTGCCGTCTGCTGTTGACAAAAATGTCTTAAATATAATAAATATATATTTTTACATTTTTGGTGCTCTGTAATATTCTAGGATGCAGTAGAATATGAAGACAGATGAATATAATTGGATATATGCCGAGCTAGTGTTGTTCCCATACTTATAAACTTCCGGTGACCGGTTGTTGTGAGTTTTATTCCATTTTATACGGTTCCTTTTACATCATTGATGTCGTGATGCAATTAAAATACATTCAGTTAAATAAACTTTGGCATTCATTTCGTTGTTCAAGCGTAAAACGAGACAAAAGGCCCACTCGGCCGTCAGAATCGGCAGACTAGCGCAGACGCTCTATTGAATAAAATGAGGTAAAATAAATGCTCATATTATAAAGACATGGCGGGGGAAATGTAATTTAATGCAGTGCTTCTTGTACAATCTGAGACCCACTTTATATCGGATATCACTCAGCCAGTGGAGATCGCTGATTTTTAAAGAAAACAGACCTTAAACGTGCTGCTTTTTCCTTTGACAGTTTGCTGGAAGCGCTTAACCCAGGTTACTGACAAATTAAAAGTCCTACTAGCATGCTTCAGCATATACCCTAAAATCCCAGAATATCTTTCAAAAAAGAGTACGGGTTTAACACCGCCATCTTGGCCAAATTTACCCACTGGCCTCTGTCCATCATGGCCTCGCAACCCTCCCCATATCATAATTGGCTTTATCACTCTGTCTTCTCTGTCTGTGGTGTGCGGTCTGGTGGAAAACGGCTGCTGTCGCTTCATCCAGGTGGATGCTACACTGGTGGTAGATGAGGAGATTGCTACCCAATAAATACCAAACTAGCTAAATTTAATAACAATATTTCCCCTAAATGCTCATTTTGTACTCAATATGATGAAACACTAAAGCATTTATTTTGGGAGTGTACTTACTGTAAAGTGTTTTGGGTTGACTTTTCCAATTTCATTAAAAAATTCTTATTTCCAAACTTCTGTATTTCCCCAAAACTTGTGTTCTTTGGTTACTCTCTGAGTGTAGATCCTTCTCATTGTACATTTTTATTGATTTATTGTTTTTTATAGCAAAGTTTTACTTCCATAAATGTTAATTTTCAAAGAAACACCCTTACCTTTTTATTTTCAGAAAGGACTTTGAAATTTATGTGATCTCTTTAAAAGACTCTAACAATTACACTGCATGTAAAACACTTTCTCGGTGTAAATCATTTAAACTTGTTTAATTTGCTGGAATTCTATTTATGTAACCCTCTTTGTCTCGTTGTTCTTATTATATCTTTGCAATGTTCTTTTTTGCATTAAAAAAAGTAGATGAGGAGATTCCCCCTATGTGTAAAGCGCTTTGAGTGCCAAGAAAAGTGCTATATAAATGTAAGGAATTATTATTATTATTATAAAGCACTGTTCTACCATCATGATATAGCCAGACTAAAATGAAGATCACATTATTACGATTAGCTTAAACTACAGCGAACACTCCACTCACTGACAAACAGCCCCTTTCATAAAGATTTATTCCACAGGTCTGTCATAATCAGGCAAATATACATTAACATACAGAATATCGGCCTCTTGTGATGCGCCACACGTTAAATAACGCAATAGTTCAAGACACACGTTTGCTTTTTTTCTCTACTTAAAAGAACGATAACAATACATCATAACAAGAGCAACAACAACAACAATAATTCATATCATAAAGATAAGCCAAGTTGTCTTTTCTAAAATTCAATATATAGCGACTCTTTTAAGGTGCACCACATGATCGGCAGGTGACTTGTTAAAGAAACTCAACAAATGTTGCACCATGACACACACAGTGAAATAGACAGAGACTTTTTGCAAACGTTGTATATGTATATAAGTGTCTCTTTAAGGTCGTCTTCTGGCACTTTCTCCAGAGCGCGTCCGGCTCGGCTGTGTTTCTAAAGTTAAAGCAGTCTGTTTTTGTTGGTTTGGCACACGTCAGGGTGGCAGCGGTGGTAGAGTAAGGCTTCTCTTCTTCTCTTTATATCCAGAAGACTCTGATATCTCATCTCTCACAGCACCTCTGCAGGAAAACAGCAGAAACACATGTGAGAAGATGATTTATTGAACTGTTAAAAGCTTGCCAACAACATCTATGACTGGTATTATGAAGCTGAAAATAGAGACGCTTTGCAGAATGCCAAGGCTGCTTTTTTCAGTCATTCACACTGTCCTAAAGTCAACAAACAGCAGAAATCATCAGTTTCATGCATGGAAAATAGCTTGGAGACTCTCTTAATCATCCTTTATACATTATTTTCAAGATTTTATTTTAGGTTCAGTTTAGTTCAGTTCAGTATAATGTAAATGTCACTGCTGAACGACGAAACACTGGAAAGCAACTCCACTGGTGACCAGATTTAATCCATATATGATCTAACATACAGCTGAAACCAGCAGTTTACATACACTCTAAAAAAAAGAAACACAACCATTTAAAAAAAAATTCTGATGTTAAATGATACTAAACGTTTACTATTTTAAGTCCGTTAGGATCACCTAAATGATTTACATTTGCTAAATGCCAGAATAAAGAGAGAATTTTTTATTGAGAATTTTTATTAATTTCTAGACAGTCAAAAGTTTACACACATTTCCTTGGTGTTTGTTTCGCTTTGCTTTTAAACTGTTTAACTTTGGTCAAATGTTTTGGGTACTCTTCCACAAGCTTCTCACAATAGTTTGCTGGAATTTTGGCCCATTCCTCCTGACAGAATTTGTGTAACTGAGTCAGATTTGTTGGCTGTCTTGCTCTCACAAGCTTTTTCAACTCTGCCCTCAAATTTTCTATAGGATTGACATCGGGGCTTTGTGATGGCCACTCCAAAACATTCACTCTGTTGTCCTTTAAGCACATTTGAACTCATTTGGCAGTACGCTTAGGGTCATGGTCTGTTTGGAAGAGCCATTTGTGGCCAAGTTTTCATTTCCTGGCTGATGTCTTGAGATGTTGCTTCAGTATTTCTACATGATGTTCTTTCTTCTATGCTGTGAAGTGGACCAGTCCCTCCTGCAGCCAAACAGCCCCACAACATGATGCTGCCGCCCCCATACTTCACAGTTAGGATGGTGTCCATGAGCGTGTAAGCTTTCCCCTTCGTCCTCCAAATGTAACACTGCTCATTATAGCCAAACAGTTCAATCTTAGCTCCATCAGAGCACAGCACATGTCTCATGAAATTTGTCTTTTTCCCAGTGTAATTCAGCAAATTGTAACCTGGCTTTGTTGTTGATTCTGGCTAGTTGATTTTCCCATGTTGTCACACAAGGAAGCAGTGTGTGTTTGAGGTTTTCCTTCAATACTATTCTACAGTTGTGCCTCCAATTAACTCAAATGTTGTCAATTAGCCAATCAGAAACTTCCAAAAGCTTGACATCATCATCTGAGCTTTTTCAGAGGCAGAATAATCTTACTGTATGTAAACTTGACTTTCAAGAAAGGTTATAACAATTTCTCTTATAATCTCTCTCTCATTATTTTGCTATTAAGCAGAACAGAAACAAATGTGATCATCCTAACTTACCTAAAAAATAAGTTTAGTCTCATTTAAAAAAAAAAAAAACTAATTATGTGCCTCTTTATAAAGTGTATGTAAACGTCTGGTTTCAACTGTACGTAATCTAACAAAATCTGATTCTACCTGCCACATGTTGAGGTTTCATAGGCCCCGCCTTCATCATGAACGGTTCTCCTCCCTCGAAGGCCATGATTGGGTCAGCCGGTTGACTTTGCCCACTGTTCCCGCTGTGATTGGACAGCTTGATTATCTCCTCAAAGTCTGCTGCGTCTCCATTGGAGGACAGTCCATTCTGATGCTTAGTGGGCGGAGCTCCGTTAATGACCGGTGCTGCGTCCCAGGACACAGAGCTGAGGAAGACACACAAGCGGGAAAATAAGCAAAACATAATTCATGCAGCTTCATTTCAATTTCAATTCATGCAGCGTCTCGATTACCTCATTGGTGATTGGTTTGTCGCACCAGTATGAAGAGCTTCTGACGGATTTTTCTTTATTACTGCAAGACGAGAGGAAAACAACATTGTATTTTTTATTTGAACCCTACTTACATGATATTAATAAAAGAGTGATTTTTATATATTCACAGAACTATAAATAGATTTTTACCGCTGTCAGTGACTCTGCCATTCACTTGAGTTGAAGTTTTAACATCTTTCTGCAAAGAAATGAATAAACCAGGTTAATTTTCTTTTATTGAGTGTGTTTAAGATGAATTTATGAAACACACACACATCTCACCTGTGCTCCTGCGTCACTCTTACGAGTCCTCTTCATGATTTCTTCCAGACGCTAAAAATGTAAACACAAACGTTAAACCAACAGAGCTGAACTAAAATCTCAAATACAATTGAAGACAAAATTTTGAGTCCCTCTGTGTAATTAAAACATATTTCCCAAGTGCTATATTTAACAATTATTTCATTCATTCATTCATTTTCCTTCTTCCTTAGTCTCTTTACTCATCAGGGGTCGCCACAGCGGAATGAACCGCCAACTTGTCCAGCATATGTTTTACACAGCGGATGCCCTTCTAGTTGCAACCCAGGAGACCAGAGCACCCAAAGGAAACCCACGCCAACACGAGGAGAACATGCAAACTCCACACAGAAATGCCAACTGACCCAGCCGGGACTCGAACCAGCAACCTTCTTGCTTTGAGGTGAAAGTGCTAACCACTGAGTGACCGTGCCGCCAGATTTTTTTCAACTTATTTTTAAATATAACAGTTTCAATAAATTATTTCCAATAACTAATTACTTACGATTGCACAATTATGACAGCGCCAAATATATTTTGACGTTGTTGATTTGGAGGATTTTACCAGTTTAGACAGTTCTTTCTGTCCTAATGCTGAGAAAGTAATAACAATAAGTAATAATAATAATATTAATATAGTATGCACTCACTATATTTTAACATATAGCTGGTAAGAATTATTAGCCCTTCCGTGAAATTAAAATATTTAACATAGATATTATTTTCAACACATTTTTTCAACAATAATAATCATAACTAATTTCCAATAACTAATTAATTCTATTTTCACAATTATGACAACATCTAATATTTGTATGTATTTGATGTATTATTATGCAATATTTTTAAGATACTAGAATTCAGCTTAAAGTGCGATTTAAATTAGGCAAGTTATGTTTATTAGGCAGGTCATTGGATATCAGTGGTTTGTTATGTAGCCAATTAAAAAAAATTTTTGATTAAAAATATTGATCTTATAATGGTTTTAAAAAATTAAAACTGCTTTTCCTGGCCAAAATAAAACAAATAAGACTTTCTCCAGAAGAAAAAAATTATAATAGAAAATACTGTGAAAAATTCCTTGCTCTGTTTAAACATCATTTGGGAAATAGTTAAAAAAGAAAAACTACAAATTTCACAGGAGGGCGAATAATTCTGACTGTATTTCTGCTGTTTTAATTAAACATGTGGAGAAGGGACTTTTATTTTACCTTCTTTCTCTCCAAGCGTTCCTGCTCCTCCTTCTGGAAGTGTTTCTCTCGTTCAATCCTCTGTTTCTCTGCTTCCTCTTTGGCTTTAGATTCAGCTTCCTCTCGCTGCCCAAGACACATAAACCCCATCATTCATTTATTACGTGTCTCCAAAATACCCAAAACTCTTGTGTCATTAAGGCTTGTCACGATAATCAATTTAATGTGGGTGTCTGATAACTGAAAATAGATCTGGTAGCAGATATCACAGCCTCTGTTATTTTTTACCTTTGCCCTTTTTAAAAGAATACAATCTATTGTGTGGTCTTTGGAAGAGTGTACTTGCATTATAATGCTTAATGTTCACCATTTGTAAAGCTGCTTTGAAACAATAATCATTGTAAAAAGCACTATACAAATAAACTGTAAAATGTCATTCTGACATTATATAAGGAGACGCATAAAATGGTCTTAAATTGACAATATTATAGTTTATCGCAATATATTTTGTTGTAATAAATCGTACAATTAAAAAAAAACTATATCATGACAAGCCTAGTGTCATCACACCCAACACACAAGGTTTAGCTAGTTGTTTTGGTCCAATAATGAGGTTATGGAGGCGTTTTCCGTGTTACTGCCAAAAATTAAAACTATTATTTAAATATAAATACTAAATGAAACAAGTTAGAAATATTGCCTACTACAACAGTGACAACTATTGTTTTTTAAATGAAATAAAATTATATATATATATATATATATATATATATATATATATATATATATATATATTAAAATTAATTATAAAAAAGTTAAAAGTCAATTATAAAATTACTAAAACTAAGAGACTATATTATATAAAAAATATAGACCTACACATATATAAATAAATACCGAAACTAACCAAATTAAAGCTACACAGAAATATCAAAATAATTTATTCCAATAAACCGAAAACATTCCAATGAAAGATAATTTAACATTTAAATCAATTATGAAAATACTGATACTATAATAATAATGGTCAACATAATGATCTAGTCAGCTGATAAAGAACTTTTCTGAATGAATTTAAAAAATGTGCGCAATTACTGCACAAAAATAAACTTCCCTTTGCTGCCACAAGGTGGAAGCAGATGCCAACTATTCCTCATAGTATTATACAGTGAACTGAAGTCGCGTTGTAGAAACCGAATAATAGACTTAAATGCTAATAAATACAAATATTGGATCAAGTTTAATCTGCCAGTATATTTATCAGCGTCCTCCATCACAGTTTTGTTCTTGAACGAATCATTTCTGATGCTGTTAAGACACAGATGCCCTCTGTATGTCCCACAAACAGAGCCATTAGCCTGTCCTGCATCATCAAATCAAATCTTCATGTCAGATGGTCTGTGTTTTCAGGATAGATCAGATAGATCAGAGTTGCCTGGAGGTTTTCGCTTTGTATGCCCTCAGTAATATTGAACATGTGTGTAAATATAATGTAATAAACACTATAATAGAATATGGAAAATACTGAAATGAACTAAACATAATGATCACCTGCTTGATCAAGTAATGTATTGAATTTGAGGCTGAAATTAATTTATTTTATAATTAGATGAATTAAAATTAACATTTTATTAGATTGACAGCTAGAAATGTTGCCATGGTAACTGAAATAAGTGGAAATATTACATAACACTCAGACAAACGTTATGCAGGAATATTGAAAACATTAACAGATCTGGAAAAGGCACATAAAATGTTCATAAAATAAAATAAAAAACTAAAAGGAAAACTAAAAATATAAAAAAATGAGTGATGATTCCTATCTCTTGACAGCTCTTTTTGAGTTCATTCATTGCTCCTCCAGATTACTTTCTATTTCTTTTCCATACAATCTAGACATTAACACTTGCACGATTTTCTTTTTGTCCAATAATTGTCTGGAGTTATTCATGGTACTGAAAGTAATTTGTTCATTCTGATAAATTGCCTTTTAATGTGGAATGGACTACCCCTAGCCCTAACCCGAACCCTGTTAATTTTTGTTTTAATTCACTTATTGTTTACAATTTAACTGTTGTAGTTGTTCCCATATTTCACGCAAAGCATCATGGGCCATAGGAAAAGCGTGGAATGTGTGGTCTCCATTACCCAGAATGCAGTGCAGTGCTCACCTGTTTCTGCAGCCGCAGGTTTTCCTCGTGCTCAGCTCTGGCTCTCTCCTGCGCCTCCTTCTCCTCCTGCAGACGCTGCTGCTCCGCCATCAGTTTGGCCTCTTCATCTCTGCGCCTCCTCTCCTCCTCCTCACGTCTGAGGTGTTCCTCACGCAGAGCTCTGGAGGAACATCAGGCAGGGTTACAGGAAATATTTTTAGTACTTAACTTTAGCTTCCATTTTAATAAATGCTTTTATGTTTACCTACAGCTAAAGTCAGAATTATTAGCCCCCTTTAGATTTTTTTCCCTTTTTTAAATATTTCCCTGATGATGTTTAACAGAGCAAGGAAATTTTCAAAGTATAATATTTTTTCTTCTTGAGGAAGTCTTATGTTTTATTTTGGCTAGTTATTTTTTTTAAACAGCATTTTAAGGTCAAAATTATTAGCCCCTTTAAGCTATACATTTTCTTGACAGTCTACAGAACAAACCATTGTTATACAATAACTTGCCTAATTACCCTAACATGCCTAGTTAACCTAGTAAAGCCTTTAAATGTCACTTTAAGCTGTATAGAAGTGGCTTTAAAAATATCTAGTCAAATATTATTTACTGTCATCATGGCCAAGATCAAATAAATCAGTTATTAGAGATGAGTTATTAAAACTATTATGATTAGAAATGTGCTGAAAAAATCTGCTCTCCGTTAAACATAAATTGGAGAAACAATAAAGAGCGGGCTAAAAATTCAGGGGGGCTAATAATTCTGACTTCAACGTTACAGTAATTTTAAACAAAGTTTCATTTTTAAGATTTTTTTTCATAAATGTATGTATTTATTTTATTTTTGTTTCAAAAATTCAAGTTTTACCCTAATCACCAGTTTATTCATTTTAAAACTATCCACAGGGCATATTTAAAAACACGTACACGACATATCATAGGTTTATCTCCAGATCCATATTGTAAGTTCTGTGAACCACCGCATCCAGATACCTTTTTACATATGATGTGGGAATGTCCGGAGGTACAAAAACTTTGGGATTCGGTGCTGGACATTTTATTTAAAGTTACAAAAATTTGTTTCCCCAAAGACCCTATACTGTTACTATTGAATGATAACTCTCAATTTCCCTTAAATGCAAAGGTCCGTAAATTTTGGTTAGCTGCTTCAACTGCTACAAAGAAAATGTTGGTACAAAGGTGGAAACCTCCTCATGATCTCTCAGTTAAGCACTGGTTACATTCATTATTGGAAATATTGTATCTGGAACTGTCATCAGCACGGCTCAACAATGCCAAAGTGGACATTCTTACGGCGTGGAAAATCTACATATGCAATGTCAAAGAAATCTTGGACACTTAACCCTCATCTGATGCTACGGATGACAACTTAATGGAAATTATCTAACAGCTTGGTCTAAACTATAGTTATTCTGTGTTTCCTGATGTGCGTATAATGGGGTGGGGGGGGGGGGGGGGGGGGGGGGGAAGAATATATATGGGGTTATATCTGTTAAAAGTATTTTGTTATCCGATTGTAAAAATTGTATATTCTCACTTTCGGAAATAAAAAAACTGAATTACAAAAAAAAAAAAAAAAAATTCAAGTTTTGAATTTCAGTTATTTCTAGTAAATTTGTTTTTAATTAGTTGCTAGAAGGCCACTTTTGTAAACTTTGACAACAACAACAACAACAAAAATAAAACAACAACAACAACAATAATAAAATTTATTGAGATTTATACATAATCTTAAAGCTGAATAAAAAATCCATTAATGAAACTATTTGTAAATCTGTAATCTAAGTCAAAATATTTCTCAAAATATTAAGCAACTGACCTTTAAAGTTGTCCAAATTAAGTTCTTAGCAATGAATATTACCAAATAAAAATGACATTTTTTATATATTTAGAGTAAAACAATTACAAAGTATCTATGTAATAATATTATTATAAAAAATTATTAATGAAAAAAATCATACACAAACACACACACAATTTTTTTTACCCATAATAATGTATTTTGATTACTGATGAAAACATCCCTATGCAACATAAGACTAAGTTTTGTTTCCATGTTTCTTATATAATATTTCTTTCTTTTATTTTGTTTCTTTTTGAACAGTTTTAGTTAACAATAGCTCTGTTCTTTGCAGAGTGTGCTGGACATTATGAACATATGGATTAAGTGGCATTTAAAGCACTTTTTTGGGGATTTTTCACAGCTCACAGATTTTTTTTGTATTTTGTAAGGACTGAAAGTGCTAAGTTTTGAAAATTGCTTTCAGTGCAATGTTTTTGTTATGTTGTGTTATCAACAAAAAAGTAAAAATGCTATTTTAAAAGTGGTGATGTCATGTACTTGTGAATTATCCATTCAGTTTACATTTTTACTGCATAACCAAAACAAATAGTGACACATTCACATGTAATATTTGAAATTCAAAATGACATCACCAACTAGTGGCTGAACATGCAAAGTACAGCATTATTAGTCATTTCCAATAACCCCTCTGAACATCTTTTAACAACATTTTCGTCTTTATGCAAAACATTTTAAACATGCAAAATAATGAGAATAAAAATAAAAAACAGACCTGCTCCTCTGCTCCTGCTCTCGCCTCTCCTGCTCCTCCTTCTCTCTCTGTTCTCGAGCCTGACGCCTCTTCTCCGCCAGGACCCGTGCCGCCTCCTCAGGGTCAGTGGTCCCGGCGGTGGGCTTAGAGATGGCAGTATTGGGCTCCGGAGACAGCGATCGAGAAGACGTGCTCGCCGCATTGACCACCTCTGGAGTCTGAGGAGCCACTGTGATTGGAGCAGAGGGAGAGAGGGGCGTGGCCGGAGCAGATGACACTGTAATGTCAGGAACAATAGAAGCAGCTGAACAAAAAAGAAAAAAAAACATCAAAAATCCATCAAGAAAGTGAAGTCATTACATAATAAGAGTCATGAAACCCTAAAGGACATTTTAAAAAAATGTTAAGATACTTATTATAATGAATACTTGATTTTGATTTACATTCAAAAGTATGTTATTTCCAGATAACAACCATTGAAACTAATAGCACGGGCTAATCCGGGTCATCATAACTGAGTATATTTACATTCATATTCATATTTTTATCATACCTGCTAACATTTGTCTCCAAAATATGATGGGATGGGTGTTGTGGAGGTGTTTGTTTGTCTGAATAACATAGATGAGATCCGGGTAAGTAACTGGAATGGGTTTTGAGTGGCTGCTGAGATCGGATACTATACCATAGTTGGTGACCAGGGAGTGTTACAGACTGTACCAAAAAGCTGAGGGCCGGAGGCAGGGTGAAATTACGGGAGTTTTTCAGGAGAAATTACAAACAAGAGGGTGGCGGGTGATGGGTGTGAAATACAGGAGACTCCCAGGAAATACGGTATGATTGATATCAGGGGTGGCCAACCCTGTTCCTGGAGAGCCACCTTCCTGCAGATTTCAGTTGCAACCCATATCAAACACACCTAATTATCCTATTACCTATTATTAATGTAATTATCACGTGGTGTTCAGGTTCTAATTAATTGGTTCAGGTGTGTTTGATATGGGTAGCAACTGAAATCTGCAGGAAGGTGGCTCTCCAGAAACAGGGTTGGCCACCCCTGATTTATATGGTTACTGTATGCGCCACACTGCTGTTTTTGACTGTTTGGCTCCATCTTGTGACTGAATAATATGTAGGTGGTTAGTGTGGGCTCCATTCAGCCAATTTTGTCCCACAATTCTTATGTTTAATGAAAGAGTATTAAAGGTCAAGTCAGTTTTTGTGTGTAATTGTTTAGGTTTGTGGCAAGTAGCTATGTAACAAGTGGGATAATGTACATCTAGATGGTTGATACCACCTGGATATACATTATCCCTTACATATTGGTGCCAAAGCATCATGAGTAATGCAATCAAATTACTTTTTTCAAGTAACTTGCAAAGTAACGCATTACTTTTAATTTCCTACAAAATATCTGAGTTGCTTTCTCAAATACGTCATGCCAGTAATATTGTTTTCCCATGTACTGACTGGCTGTCCTATTTTGAGAGAATCAGTAACAATATGTGTGTGTAATTTTATTTTTTAAAGTAATATATTACAACCGTGAGCCTGTATTACTCTTAAAATAATGCCAAAATAACACAACTTTTACTTTCACATCGCTTCATAAAAACACTATGATTGACATTCTCCCTTTGTACGTGTCATCAGAGGGGGAAAGCCCCGCCCAATAGTGATGATCTCTCCCTCATTAGCATAGGACATTAGTCTTGATTTTGAATCTGCCACTATAACTATGCTGAGATATATGCATTGATAGCTCCGCCTTCTTTTGAAAAGAGCACAATCTCATTTGAATTTAAAGCGACAGTCACCAAAATGGCACAATTAGGTTGAAAGCCTAAAAGAGGCAAGTTCAGAGGGTTATAAAACATTATTTGTGAGTTAAAACTCCACATACACACTCATTTTGTAAAAAGTGGCATAATTGGTTTCCTTTAACAAGGTAAAAGTCACCCTGGTCTCTTTGGAAACCATTGAGGTGTCATGCAGATGTATCTGTTTAGTTTTGGGTCTACAGTGTGGTCTCACTCACTCTTTGTGTCTTTGGGAGGCTCAGGCTGTCGGGGCTCCTTTGTTTCCACTGTGACTGCAGCGACGGCGGGCGCCTGCACACGAGCAGGGGTCTGCGCCCGTTTAGGCCGGGTCTTGGTGCCCGGTGGAGTTCGGCCTGAAGAGGATGAAGGTTTGGGGGACACTGCTGGGTTCGGCGAGAGAGGGCGACTCCTGGGCGTCGCAGGAGAGGAAGCTCTGTTTTTAGCTTTGACATTTGGGCTAAAAAGAGAAGAGATGTCAGAGCATTCCTTTATTTCATTTCATCATGTGCTTTTGTCATTTTTTTGTCATTTGCTATTTCAAGTTTTTTTTTTTGTTTCGCTTTTATTTATTTCCAGATGACAGTAAATTAAGTATTTTTGTCTTGGTTTGCGCTAAATAATTTTTATTATAAATATTTTTAGTTTTACTTTTATTTATTTCCAGATGACAGTAAATTTAAATTTTTTAATCTTATTTATTTTCATTTATTTTTACTTATTTATTTTTGTCCATTTTTTAGTTTTCCTAATATAATTTTTGTATACATTACAGCTATTTTTAATAGTTTATCTTTGTAATATTAATATTTATTCATTTTTTCATTCATTCATTTTCTTGTTGGCTTAGTCCCTTTATTAATCCGGGGTCGCCACAGTGGAATGAACCACTAAGCGGATGCCCTTCCAGCCACAACCCATCTCTGGGAAAAATATTATTATTATTTAGGTTAATTTGTGTATTCTATTTTCATTTTTTATTTTCAGTTTTATTATGCATTTATATCAGTTGCTTTTATATCAGTGCATAAGTTTACTTTGATATTTTCAGTTTTGTTTAATTAATCACTTAATTTTAAGTTTTAGTAATTTTATTGTGCTTTTGTCATTTGTTGTTAGTTTATTCTTGTTATTTGTCTCAATATTGTTTTTATTTTAATATTTATTTTAATATTAATTTTTTTTGGTTTAAATATTTTTAATATTAGAAATTCTGGCAGACATTTACTTGTAAATACACTTTTTTTAAAATACAAACATAAAACTTTTTAAGACACTCAAAAAAAGAGAAAATGAAAAAAAAAAAACAACCAACAGTCATACATTTTTTTAAATTAAACAACATTTAAACATACTTTCCCCCAACCAACCACCCATCAGTGCTATCCAATGGTAAAAGTAGGTACTAAAGGCATAGTAAACAAATTAATCACAAGTTTGTAAAAAGTAGATATAAGGGGAACACATTTTTTCTAATAACAAAATCTTGTCTATTAGAGTATTATCTGATTTTTTAAAAACTTTGTTTTAACAAGTGATTTTAATGCTTCAAATTGTTCATCAAATCGCCATGGAAACATTTCTAATTTTACTATTGCAGTTCGTTTATAAAAAAAAAGAAATAATAAAGACATATATACAAGTATAAAAGTATCAAATACCTTTATTAATAACTTATACACTTACATTGATTTTCATTACAAATATCTGAAATTTCCTGAATTAAGATACATATCCTTGAGAATATAAATGACTAAAAATGTTTTAATTTTAAAAATGTTTTAAACCCAATCTTATTTAAATTTAAACAATAATACTTGCATTAGCAATTTAGCCTTAGATTGTCTTTTTATGGCCTTATTTCTGTTTACAGATTTTTATTTTTAAAATGTGAATATTATTTATAACAATTACACTCATGATGTAAGTCTGAACAATAATACTGCTTGCCTTAGTACCATAGACTGTAAAATATATAGACGTAGTATCCGTGACGTCACCCATAGGTTTCTAAAGAGCGCAAAAGAAGCCACAAGTAGGCGCGGCCAACCGTCGCCATTTTGTTCGTGCGTCATCACACCCACGGCGGGAGACCAAACAAGGGCAAAGAGGCGGAGAGTGAGCGGAGCTACAGACACCTGCTGGCATTTAGCTTAGACCTGGTTCAGACACACTTTACTTTGGGAGAACGCTTAATATTTTATCACCTGCGACTCGTTTGTATTCTGACCACTTGTGCTTGGTTGTATACTATATCAATAAAGTGTTTAGACTTTTAAAAACACTGCTGTAATACATTGAGCCACTAAGTATTGTTCTTATGACGTTTTTCAACAGGAGGAAAACGCGAATTACTTCCAAACACTTCAGATATAGTCTGTGTTAGTTAATGTAAGACTATTAATGAAATCCAGCATAACACTGTATGACAACGCTTCAGATGACGATTCTAGAGCCTACAGCTAATCAATCTGACAGATTCTGGAGTGCGTTACAGCTCTAAATATAAATTTAAACGATAAATGATCTTAAATAAAACAAATACATGAATAGAGATGGTATATAAGTATAACTTTACTCACATGGGAAACGGAGGCCACGTGAATGGTTTGTGAGCACAATTAAGTGCCCTCACCATGACATTCCATCAAATAATTGTAGGAAACAAGTCCAAAAGACAGTCGACTGTGTAAAGCCACATAAAACAACACAGAAATACGATAAATATGCCGAGATCAGTGGCTAATCTGCAGGATTCAGCTGAGGTGACGTGACGGCGATCAGCGAGACCTAGCTGTCAATCAAGTGGCCACTCCCTTTAATTATGCAAACTTAAAATAACTTAATATAAAGGAAACGGATGAGTTATAAAAAAATTCACCCCCCTCACAGTTGTCATGAAGGGTAATATTAGCTGTATTAACCAAAATCTTTTTTTGTACCAGGCTGTAAAAACTTTTTTTCTGCTGTAAAGTTGGCCATTCTAACAGTGGGCTCAATTGAAATTTGCTCTGTTTTGGAGCCAGGAGCGGCCAAGACTAGCGGAATTTCGGATGAATTGCAGTTTTAGTTACTTTCGTATTGGCTTCCTGAGAGAGAGCGGGAGGTTGCCGCTTGCTTAGTACGTACTTCAGTGAGGAAAAAGAAATTATGCTACAAAATAGCCAAAATATGAGCTCAGTTTAATTATTTTAAAGCTGATTTACTATTTCTTTTCACTAATCAGCTGAACACAAAGCCTGTAAAAGAGCTAAAAGTCTGCCAGGGGCCCTGCTGAGCCTGTGTGTGTGTGTGTTTCTATATGTATGTATGTGCTAGTCACCTGGCTTCTGTTTTCGTTCTGGTTACAGATTGGGATTGTCTCTTCTTCTCCACTTTTTCTTTAGACAGAGCGCTCTTCTCCTTCTCATTCTCTCGTTCCTTGTCCTTCTTTTCTTTCTTCTTCTTCTCAAACTAGAAAAGGAACACAATAATAGATCAAAGAACTAAAACAACAACTGCTAACATCAAAATCATGACTGACGAAAAATAAACTTTTGTCTGGAGAAGTTTTAAGCTAGCGTTAAGTTGTAAAAAGAACCATTTAATATAAACTTTCAGAAAAAACACAACATAAAGAGAAAGGAAAATAGCGAGATTTTTCCAATATTGTGCAGCCCTAGTGTGTGTGTGTGTGTTTACCGGTGTGGAGTTGCGTCTGTGTTGTCGCTGTGTGATGTCTGGAGTGCTGGCCGAGACTCTCCAGCGTTCAGCGCTGTGCTGGTGAGGATGATGATGATGAGAGCAGGGTGTCAGAGGGGATACAGACGCAGAGCGGGAACACTGATCTGAGAAAACACACACCAGATATTTAGAGACACTCACTCATTTATTTATGCATACAACACTACAACTGAGATCATACACTACTGTTTGAAGGGATAGGGCTGGTAGAATTTTTTTTATGTTTTGCATTTCTTATGTTCATCAACCGGGTGACACAGTAGCTCAGTGGTTAGCACTGTCGCCTTACAGCAAGTAGACCACTGGTTCGAGTCCCGGCTGGGCCAGTTGGAATTTCTATGTGGAGTTTGCATGTTCTGTTGGCGTGGGTTTCCTCCGGGTGCTCCGGTTTCCCCTACAGTCCAAAGACGTGCTATAGGTGAACTAAATTGGCTGTAGTGTATGTGTGTGGATGAGTGTGTATGGATGTTTCCCAGTACTTGGTTGTAGCTGGAAGGGCATCCGCTACGTAAAACATGTGCTGGTTAAGTTGGCGGTTCATTCCGCTGTGGTGACCCCGGATTAATAAAGGGACTAAGCCGACAAGAAAATGAATAAATATTAATATTACAAAGAAAAACTATTAAAAATAGTTATAGTTAATAATGTGTACAAAAATTTAATTAGGAAAACTAAAAAATGGACAAAAAATAAATAAGTAAAAATAAATAAAAATATATAAATAAGATAAAAAAATGTAATTTACTGTCATCTGGAAATAAATAAAAGCGAAACTAAAAATATTTATAATAAAAATAATTGAACGCAAACCAAGACAAAAATACTTAATTTACTGTCATCTGAAAATAAATAAAAGCGAAACAAAACTAAAAAAAAACTTGAAATACAAGCTTTTTTTAAATAATAAATAGGGACTAAGCCGAAGGAAAATGAATGAATGAATCTAATATAAATGAACTATTTATCATTTTTTTCTTTATTTAAAAATGCAAAATAACTATGTTTGTTGTCACTTTACACACAAAATATGTATAACTGGATTTTACCAACAAAAAACCACCCAAACTAAAAATTTATAAAAATATGGATATAATATGGAATGATATGGAGTTGGTAATATGTATCAATAATAAAAATAACAATTTATGTAATTTTCACCTTAATATTAAACTAAATAGCCAATTCCATCAAATAAAATCAGTAAAAAAAAAAGTCCAACTAGAAAAAATGGCACCACTTCTGAATTGAAAATGCTTCATTATAAACTAATAAAGCTAAAGGTAAAAAATACAGTTGAAATCAGAATTATTACTTCCTCTGAATTATTAGCCCCCCTGTTTATTTCTTTCCCCAATTTCTGTTTAACGGAGAGAAGATTTTTTCAGCATATTTCTAAAAATAATAATGATAATAAATAATAATAAATTATAAATTATAAAAAATAATTAATTGACTAGATAATTTTCAAGACACTCCTATACAGCTTAAAGTGACATTTAAAGGCTTAACTAGGTTAATTAGGTTTACTAGGCAGGTTAGGATAATTAGGCAAGTTTTTGTATAATAATGGTTTGTTCTGTAGACTATTGAAAAATATATAGCTGAAATGGGCTAATAATATTGCCCTTAAAATGGGTTTAAAAAAATTAAAAACTGCTTTTATTCTAACCAAAATAAAACAAATTAGACTTTCTCCAGAAGAAAACATATTATCAGACATACTGTGAAAATATCTTTGCTCTGTCAAATATGATTTGTGAAATATTTAAAAAAGAAAAAAAAAACTAAGGGGCTAATAATTCTGACTTCAACTGTATATACACAGAACAGATCATTGAAGTTTATTTGAGATATAAATAAGATGAACGGCTTGTTTTCTCTGTGTTTATAAAGTGTGTTTAAGTCATTAGTAGGGTGTGTATGTAGTGTGGTGACTTTAAAGGGGACCTATTACGCAAAAATCACTCTTATAAGTGGTTTAAACACAGTTGTGTGGCAGCAGTCTGTGAATATATCATCTAAAAGAAACACTTTGATTGACATTCTCCCTTTGTACGTGTCACTAGAAAGGGGAAAGCCCCGCCCACTAGTGACAATCTCTCCCAAATTAGCATAGGACGTTAGTCTTGTTTGTGAATCTGCCACTATGCTGGCACGCATTTGTAGCTCCGCCTTCTTTTAAAAAGAGCACAATCTCATTTGAATTTAAAGCGACAGTCACTAAAATGGCACATTAGAATCAAAAGGAACAGTTTCAAAGAGTTATAAAACATTATCAGTGTGATATTTTAAGCTAAATCTTCACACTCTAGGGACATCAGAGACCTATTTTACATTTTATGTAATCAGTGTGGTGTGTGTGTAACTCACGGGGGTCGCTGCTGTTCTGCAGGGTGGCGACGCTGCGGCTGCGAGCCAGAAAGGAAAGGGTAGGCGTCATCAGTCGCTCCACGATTCGACTCTCCCACGGGCTCAAGCGCAAACTGCGGGCTGACACAAGAGGGTGCTGTTAACATCAACATATGCTGACACAAACCACAGGTCACTGGACAAAGGGCCAATCAGCAGGCTGTAGCAGTGCTGCTAGACAAATCAGAGCAGCCGTTACAGGAAGCAGACTTATCAGGCCCTTCGTTGAGTGAACACTGATCCTTTTCTTGATCTGGACTCATTTCTGGACACTACAGTAAATATTAGTGAATGCTGTAGTGGTTTACGTACACTCATATGTTTGCTTTGTCTGTTTGATGTAACTCAAGAGAGTTAAAGTACAACTTAGTGTATTTAAGTAGTACTCAGTATTTACTCATGCTGTTTAACTTGAAAAATGTTGCTATTTTACACACACACACACACACACACACACACGTGTAGAACTATCTTTATGGGGACTTCCCAAAGACATAATGTTTCTACTGTACAGACTGTAAATTCTGTCCCATTATTTCTAATCCCAACCCTCACAGGAAACAGGAACCTGCATTTTTACATGTTCAAAATATTTCATTCCATCTTATTTATGATTTTTTTATAATTAAAAATGTCCCCATGACGCTAAATTTACTGGAATTGTATTGGTATAATTATGGGGACATTTGGTCCCCACGATGTTAGGAATAAAAGACACACACTTTCTATTCTATTCTATTCTATTCTATTCTATTCTATTCTATTCTATTCTATTCTATTCTATTCTATTCTATTCTATTCTATTCTATTGTTCATACATTTTCTTTTCGGCTTAGTCCCTTTATTAGGGGTTGCCATAGCGGAATGAACCGGCAATTTATCCAGCACATGTTTTACGAAGCCGATGCCCTTCCAGCTGCAATATATATATCTGGGAAACATCCATACACACTCATACACTACGGACAATTTAGCCTACCCAATTAACCTGTACCGCATGTCTTTGGACTGTGGGGGAAACCGGAGCACCTGGAGGAAACCCACGTCAACACAGGGAGAACATGCAAACTCCACACAGAAACGCCAACCGACCCAGCACTACCTACTGCATCACCATTTCGCCCCATATTATATTATATTATATTATATTATATTATATTATATTATATTATATTATATTATATTATATTATATTATATTATTTTATATTAAGTTATATTAAGTTATATTATATTATATTATTTTATATTATATTATATTATATTATTTTATATTAAGTTATATTATATTATATTATATTATATGATTTTATATTATATTATATTATATTATATTATATTATATTATATTATATTATATTATATTATATTATATTATATTATATTATATTATATTATTTTATATTAAGTTATATTATATTATATTATATTATATTATATTATATTATATTATATTATATTATATTATATTATATTATATTAAGTTATATTATATTATATTATATTATATTATATTATATTATATTATTTTATATTAAGTTATATTATATTATATGATTTTATATTATATTATATTATATTATATTATATTATATTATATTATATTATATTATATTATATTATATTATATTATATTATATTATATTATATTTTTGCAAATTAATAAATAATATTAATAACATTAATATATTTATAATAATATTAATAGCATTAATAACATTAATCAGGATAATGTGACCCTGAAAACTGTTCAGCTTTTACAGAAATTATTCACATTTTAAAATATATATATATATAAAAGAAAACTGTTAATTTGAATAACAATACTATTCTATAATATTACTACCCGTAGTTGTATTTTTGATTAAAAAAGCAGCATTTGTAATCTTATTTAAAGAACATCTTACAACTCCAAAATGTAGCATATCAGTGAGTTTAGCAAAAAAATGTGATGGCATAAGTGTAATACTGAGACCTTTTGATCTTGTGTTATAATTTTGCATAGGCTGAGATCTCTCCTAAATGTTAGACTGTTTTCAGTAGTTCTGCTGTTTTATTTAAAAGACCTCAATTATAAATATTCTCTCCTGTGAGTGTTTTAAGTCTAGACGAACAGCACACTAAAAGCAGAATAATCTCTCCACGGGTTCAAAATCAGGTTAAACTGCTTTAATTCTGGGAATTATGAGATGCTGCAGTGTTAATTACTCAGACAGCACATTAAAATGTGGTTTGGATCTTCACAGACTAAATGACTGATCTCCACGGACATGAGCAACACAAGTGGAGTGATGAAGAAATGAATCTGTGGTCTCCATTACACTCATTTCCATCTCTCCTTTAGCCACACACACACACACTCAGGCAGAAACACACTCCAAAGATGTATATGACAATCATGTAACACTCAAACAGTCATGAAAACGGACTCTTGATCTGGATGTAGCGATGAGGTGGTGCTCTGATCTCACACTTTAGCAACACCAGAAAATTTACAGCACTTCAGGACGACTGGCCACAGGCCGTCGCTAGGCAACAGCTGCCTTTTTTTTTTTCTTCTCCCCCACTGCGGCAAACCGTGCTGTTGCCTGAACTACTGTAACCGAAAGCTTGATCACGATCTAGCATATAAAATCTTGCTTGGAAACAATCTTGATTCTGAATATCATAACAACCAAACCCAGAATATAGCATTTCCAGGAAGCTTGCAGGGGAAAAAATAAACCTCAATGGCCATGAAGTCTCTCAAACCGTGTAAGATTGAATAGCTTAAATATTATGTGTTACATCTCAGCGAAATGTGCATTATGAGTGGTCATCTCTAAAGACAGGGAAATAAGAGCAGACGTTGAGCTACAGGGATAGCATGCGGTGCACAATGCTGTTATTATGATGATTTATACACATCTGTGTAGCCACAGTTTTGCTGTACTGGACCGTTCTGCTACAATGCGGAGGTCAGCATTTTGGAAAACCTATTATTTCGTCGCTAAGAAGGAAAATGTGGCTATAGTCAGAACTACCATAGGTTAAACTGTGCATAGTATGTACATTAGCTACAGTATATGTGTATAAAAACCTGTATTTGACCTTCTAACAATCTCTCCCTCTCTCTCTCTCTCTCTCCCAACTCTATGTTTTTCTAGTATTGTTTACTAGTGCTGTCAAATGATTAATCACGATTTATTGTATCCTAGATGTAACTTTTTATTTACACACACACATACATACACATATATACAGTTAAAGTCAGAATTATTAGCCCCCCTGTTTATTTTTCCCCCAATTTCTGTTAAACAAAGGGAAGATTTCTTCAACACATTTCTAAACATAATAGTTTTAATAAGTAATTTATAATAACTTATTTTTTTGATCTTTGCCGTGATGACAGTAAAATAATATTTGACTAGATGTTTTTCAAGACACTTCTATACAGCTTAAAGTGACATTTAAAGGCTTAACTAGGTTAACTAGGCAGGTTAGGGTAATTAGGCAAGTTATTGCATAACGATGGTTTGTTCAGTAGACTTAGGCCCCGTTTACACTAGTGCGTTTTAGTTTGAAAACGCATAAGTTTTGCTACGGTTACGCCATCCGTCCACACTACGCCGGAGTTCTCGAGCGCCGAAAACGGAGCTTTTTGAAAACGCTGGAGAGGCCGTTTTCATTCTAAAACGCTGCTGCTCCGTCTCAGTGTGGATGGGGAAAGACGGAGACATCTGAAAACGGAGGCGGGGCTGCAAACGTTCGCCTATCTGATTGGGGCTTTTCCTCAATATTAAGTAGCCTAACACACACAGTTCAGTCTCGCATCTCCTTCTTGTAAGTTAAGACTTCGCAAGTTTGATCAAGGCTGCAGTCTCCCCCTTCTCAGTTTGATATGGAAAACATACCGAGGACACGGGTAAATCTTCAAAGGGAACAGTGTACTTTATAACTTCATTTACATCACCTTGGCTGCGTTCACTTTCTCAACAATAAAATGTAAACATGATTTAAGGAACTGCCTATTTTCTTTTTAATATTAGCAACTTAACAGACAGCAGAAATGTTGAGGCGCCGTGCCGCATATATGAGCGTCATCTTCACTGTGTGGGTATTTATAACAAAACGGAGCCCATAACAGCTGCCTCTTTTCAATTTCAGTGAAAATACGAAACACACCATCTCTTTTGCTGAATATTAGTTTTAATAATCGATAATTATAAAAGTATAACATACAATAAGTTTATACATTGTAGGAAATAAAGGTAAGCGATCAGTCAATGTACCTGGATTAATCATTAACTTATCTTTGCGCTTAACCAAAACATGTTACCCGTAAACAAGTAACTTATTAGATTCCAATGACCAAAGTCAGGGAATTGGCCTATGTCGTTAGATAAAGACAACAACATGAATGAAATATCACGTTTAGCAAATATAGTGAGATTAGATCCAGCGGGAGATGCTTGATGAGCAGTCCGACAAGCAGAGCTCTCATCTGGGTAGAAATGCTGGAGCGCTTGCCCGAGAGTGTGTGTGTGGTCACGTGATGTGCGTTTTCAGCGTTTTGGTGTGGACGGAGAGCTGTTCAGAAACACTGGGTAAAACGCGAGTGTGGACGCGGATCGTTTTCCTTCTACAACGCCGTTTTAAAACTAAAACGCACTAGTGTAAACGGGGCCTTAAAGGGGCTTGTAATTTTGACCTTAAAATGGTGTTTAAAAAATTAAAAACTGCTTTTATTCTAGCTGAAATAAAACAAATAAGACTTTCTCCAGAAGAAAAACTATTATCGGACATTATGTGAAAATGTCCTTGCTCTGTTAAACATAATTTGGGAAATGTATAAAAAAAATGTTCAAAGGGCGGTGAGTAATTTCTGACTTCATTTGAATATTGGTTCGGTTACGATTACCATGTCATCTATTCGGTTCAGTTCAATATACCGGTGCATCACGGTGTTCCATACAGAGTTACACCCCATTCACACGGGGCGTCAGGGTCAACTCTTCCCATTCATTTTGAATGGGTGACATCAGGCGTTGCTGAACTGCATTGTGGATCCGTCGGCGCCACTTCAGAGGCGTTGCTCGCTGCAGAAGTTGGGACTACCTCAACTTTTTAATTGCAGTCAGCCAATCAGATCGCTCTATGCAAATACACCAGCCAGACAGTGGCCTATTGCTGACTGAATTTCATTGGCTGACGCTGCTATGATGATCGCTTCAGCCCCAACTTCAGACACGCCTTTAGTCAAGCGTTGACACTGAAGCCCCGTGTGAATGGGGCGTTATATTTATTTCTTCACAACACAAGAATGTTTCTTTTTATTAAAATCTATGAATATATTTTTATAATATATGTAATACAATTTCGCTCTTTATTTCAAGCAGTCAAGATATATTTACCTGTACCTTTAACTTTACCTGTTCAAAGAAAACACCTCAAGTACATGCACAGAACAACGTGAGCATTTAGAGCAAATAAACTAATGTAAATGTTATTCTGCTTGCTCTTTAAGCGCTGTCAAGCGCAAGGAAATTTTCACAGTATGTCTGATAATATATTTTCTTCTGGAGAAAGTCTTATTTGTTTTATTTAGGCTAGAATAAAAGCAGTTTTTAATTTTTTAAAGCCATGTTAAGGTCAATATTATTAGCCCCTTTAAGCTATATTTTTTCTGTAGTCTACAGAACAAACTATCGTTACACAATAACTTTCCTAATTACCCTAACCTGCCTAGTCAACCTAGTTAAGCTATTAAATGTCACTTTAAGCTGTATAGAAGTGTGTTGAAAAATATCTAGCCAAATATTATTTACTGTCATCATGGGAAAGATGAAATAAATCAGTTATTAAAAATGAGTTATTAAAACTATTATGATTAGAAATGTGTTGACAAAATCTTTTCTCCCTTAAACAGAAATTGGGGGAAAAAAAAAACAAGGGGCAAATAATTCAGGGGGTTTAATAATTCTGATTGCAACTATGTATATAAACATTATGTACATACTTATAGATATATACATATATATTAAGATATAATTTGTATTTTATATAAATATTTATATATATATATAAATATAAACAAGCATTATATACAATATACAATATAGTCATACATATATTAAAAGTACGCACAAATACATTTCGTAACTATACATTTTTATTTTGGATGTGTTTAATCGTTGGACAGCACTATTTTTTCATGCTTCAATTACTTGTTGTTTTTATTAGTTTGTAAGCAGCTTTAATATAAGCGTCAGCCAAACAACTGAATATAATGTTATTAAATATAATGTGTATAAAAAGTTGAAGTCAGAATAGTTAGCCCCCTTCGAATTTTTTTCTTCTTTTTTAAATATTTTCCAAATGATGTTTAACAAAGCAAGGAAATTTTCACAGTATGTCTGATAATATTTTTTCTTCTAGAAAATATCTTATTTGTTTTGTTTCGGCTAGAATAAAAGCAGTTTTAATTTTTTAAAAGCCATTTTAGAGACAAACTCATTAGCCCCTTTAAGCTATTTTTTTTTCTTGATAATCTACAGAACAATCTACTGTTATACAATAACTTGCCTAATTACCCTAACCTGCCTAGTTAACCTAATTAACCAAGTTAAACCCTTAAATGTCACTTTAAGCTGTATAGAAGTGTCTTGAGAAATATCTAGTCAAATATTTTTAACTGTCATCATGGCAAAGATAAAATAAATTAGTTTTTAGAAATGAGTTATTAAAACTATTATGATTAGAAATGTGCTGAAAAAATCTTCTCTCAGTTAAACAGAAATTGGGGAAAAAAATAAACAAGCGGTCTAATAATTAGGGGGGGCTAATAATTCTGACTTCAACTGCATACTGTAAAATAGAAGAGAATCAAATGTTTATAAGAACTGTTTGACAAAAGTGAGTTGTACCGAGCCAAACCACTACATATCATGCAGTGGAAACGCATTTCATGTGAACCAGAACTAAATGTACTTTATTTAGTATCCAGATTAAGAGATGCAAGAACTTCAAGTGTGAACACACCCTCAGTTCATTGTTTTATCAGTCCATTCATAAAGCCCATTGTTATTTTATTTACATCAACCATTAATCAGCCTTTCAAATCACACACTCAGGGTGAACAAATAAAAAAAAATCCACCACCAGCACCACGACCCACACCAAAGACTGATGAACACAGAAATGAAACAAAAAAAATCCTGACCACAGGTAAAAATAACCATCACAGACTATGATGCAACAATGCGAGAGCGCTGATCAATAAAAAAAAGACATTTCCCACGATGCAACACAAGAACGAGGGGTTTAGGGGGGGTGCATGGGGAGGTGAATCAGAAAGGTGTGAGAATGACCATCGATCACCAGGCACAGGCAAGCAGGCCACCAAAAAAATGAGCAAATCAAATCAAAATGTGGAAAAAACACAACTGAAGAACCAAAAGAACCAGACGAGGGGGGGGGAGGGGATTTTCGGGAGCCGCTCCGTTCTTACTTCTGCAGGGCGAGTTCCAGAGCGTGGCCGAGGACTTGGACAGCCTGTTGTTTATCACAGGCTCCGTCTGCCGCGGCAGGTTGACCGTGGAGGCTGAGCATCTGCCTGCAGAACGCAACACAGAGAGCAGAGCGTTCACACGGGGCCCCCCGGGAGCCACGGCGGGACGGGCGCAGCGCTGGGAGGATCATGCAGACTTTCAGAGGGAGAGCTGGAGGAGGCGGGACACTCTGGCTGGAGCTCGGGATCATGTAGGGTGGTCGTACATTTAAGATGTACATTGGTTTTTATATACGACGAGTCACTTTTAAAAGCATGAATGCTGAACAGCAGGACCGTTAAAACGTTTGGGGTCAGTAAGATTTTAAGTACAACAAATTTATGAAAAGCATCATTACTTCGGATTAGAGGGTCTAGTTGTCTTAGAAAAATAGTTTAATAAAAAATACAGCAAAACAAATGTGAAAGATTATTACGATTTTGATAGATTGTGTTTTTGATAGATTTTTTTTTAGTATCATCACTCCAGTGTTTGTTGTCTTTAAGAAATCAACTAATAAAAATATAGTACAAATAGTAATATATTATTGATCGATTTTGTACCCCAAAGCCGTGGCAATGTCAATGTCCAACGTTCAACCTAAAATCAACTAAAAATCAATGTCTAATGATGTTACAGCTTGACGTTGAGTGGACGTTACCACTATGATGTTTATCATACCTGATGAATTAATGTCAATATTTTACGTCAATATGACGTTGGTTTAAAATGTTGGTTTGTCGTTGGATTTTTGTGACTTTCCAACACAACCTTAAAACAACTAAATATCAACATCATTTGATGACATTATTAGACGTCTAAATAACATTGTCCTTAGACGCTGGCTGGTCATTGAATTTTTGTAACCTGACGTCATGATCTAAATCTAATCTAATATTAACGTCTTATGACGTTGCGTGCCTGCTGGGTGTCTTAAGTGCTACATAGTACTTCAAAAATCACTTATTTAAAAATATCAGAAAAATTGTGATTTATTATTAACAATTTTAAGGAATTATTTGTATTTAAATAAACTTAAAATTTAGGTTTATTACTGTGATTAAACATAGATTCTTCAGCATCTTTACTCCAGTCTTTAGGGTCAAATGGTTCTTCAGAAATAATTTAATAAAAATATTGCAAAAATTGTGTAATAATATTAAAATATTGAGGAATTGTTATGTATTTAAATATATGTAAATTTGGAATTTATTATTATGATGAAACACTGATTTTTCAGTATCATTACTCCAGTCTTTGTGTCGTATGGTCTTTAAGAAAATTTTTTTTGAAAAATATAGTTAAAATAGTAAATATTGTTACAATATTGATTGATTGTGTTCTATTTAAATTATATTTAATATTGGAATTTATTACTGTGATAAAACACTGATTTGTCTGCATTATTACTCTAGTATTCAGTTTCCTTCAGAAGTAATTTAATAAAAATATAATAAAAATTGTAAAATATTATTATAATTTAATTAATTGTTTTGTATTTAAATATATTCACTACTGGAATTTATTACTGTGATAAAACACTGATTTTTTTTACCATCAATACTTCAGTCTTAAGCGTCTTTAAGAAATCATTAACTAAAAATATAGTCAAAACTGTAAAATATTATTATAATTTAAGTTAATTGTTTTGTATTTATATACATTTAAAATAGGAATTTATTACTTTGATGAAACACAGATTTTTCAGCATCATTACTCCAGTCTTTAGCGTCTTTCAGAAATCAATTAAATAAAAAATATTGAAAAAAAAAGCTAAATATTATTAACATTTAAATTAATTGTTTGTATTTAAATATAATAAACATTGGCATTTTTTGCTGTAATAAAACAGATTTTCAGCGTCATAACTCGAGTCTTCAGTTTCATTAAGAAATCATTAATAAAATATAGTAAAAATAGTGAAATATTATTACAATTGTAATTAATTATTTAGTATTTAAATAAACATAACATTAGAATTTATTACTGTGATAACACTGATTTTTCAGCATCTTTACTCCAGTGTAACATGGTCCTTTAGAATTGATTTAATAAAAATATAGTAATATTACAATATTAATGAATAGTCCTGTATTTAAATATATTTCAAACATATTACAATGATGATTTGCTGCTTTTTTTAGCATCATTCCTTGGTGATTGGTGGTAATGGTGATTTGATGCTCAAACATTTATTATTACTATTAATATGACATTTTTATTTTCAGGATTCTTTTATTATTAAAACAGGGTTTAAAACATCTTTTTAACATCTTTGCGCTCATTTCCTTGCTTGATAAAAGTACTGTCATACTCTCCCTCATGTCATTCCAAACCTTTAAGAAACTGTTTATCTATGGAAGATGGATTTTTCTAGAGATTTCTTTTCTATTCACCCAGAATTCCATCAGCATTTATATCTGAATAAATCTCTATAAGGAAATCTGTTTAACATGTAAAACAATCAAATCTCTTTATTTAAAGATTAAATAGTTTAAACATTTCAAAGCATCAGAGTTTTGGGCGAATAAAAAAATATAGAAATTTGTCACTTAACTCTTACAGACTTAAAACAGCATGACGGTAAGATATTTTTGTTGTGAAACTATTCCTTTAAGCATTACATAATAAAACATAATTTCAACTAACCCCAAACTTTGAAACGGTACTGCACATCTGAAAAACTGCCTTCAAATCAGCACTATCCTACTGAAAAGACCAGCATTATCATCAGCATGAGTCGTGCGATGGAGGATCATTTGTAGCATGGCATTCTGGAATCCACATCGGGCTTCTAAACCAGATTAACCATCAATACATTCCCTTTTATCCAGCTTCATGTTGGTGAAACATCATCGGCAACATTATCCAGTTACATAAATGAACGGATACGGTCTTTTCAACAGGGTAGGACTGTATAAAGTGATCCAACATGACATCACTTCCTGTAATCACATACAGTAGATGCACTAACGTCCATCCCTCTGATCTTAAAACCCCATACGTATATTTTATACAAACAATATAGGGAAAAATTTATCCTTAACAACAGAAAGAGATGATTTCACAGTCCTCTGCCTAGATATCCAGCACTATACTACAACAACGGAAAAATCTCTTAAAAGAAAAACAAAAAATAAAGGATAGAAATGATGCTGATGTCTTATGGTGGTGAAACCATCGTAAGATGATTTTCTTCCCTTTATGTTTTAAAAGCGGGTCAACAAAATCAGAACCAGATGGTGACTATTTACAGCATTAAAAATCTCAGTCTGTCTGCTTTACCTCGCACACATGATTCAAACACTTCTGGAGTCAACATTTATATCAGAAATTTGCAACCCAGGCTCATTGCGGATCCGTACCCAAGTCTACATTTCTGGGGATAGTGAAGTGCGTAACCAGATCGACATCTGCTCGCAGTTTTTGCTTTTGCAAATGCACTAGAGACTGCTGTGTATGCTTTTTGATGATCTCAAATTTCGTGTCGTCTTCTCGCATAAATCCACCAGAGGGTGCAATATATACTTCAGCCAACCAGGGCTGCGTTTCCCAAACATTGACGTAACTCGCGGCTGAACTATCTTAATACGATGCATCGTTTGGGAAAACAGCAGTTACTTTGTCGTAGATCTGTAATTTAAACCATGTCAGTTATAATGTAAAACATGCACAATGATGCTCTAAACGAGGTGGTAACAACTTCTTTAGAGAAAAACCTATACTTTTTTTGTGCAAATTATATTGTTTTACACATTTAAAAAAATACGATACAAAATATTTTTTATTTAATAAAATACAATATTATACTCATATAAAATACAGAATAAACATTTAAAAATATATATTTATTTAGTTTTATTATTTGAAACTTTTAATAAGGAAAATTTAAAAAATAGTTTTGGCACAACGGCAGCCCCCCACCCATGTGTGGCGCCTCTGTGCACCACATTTCCTGCATACCCCCTTATTGTGCCTCTGATTCTATTCTAAAACATAAAACCACTTAGCTAACACTCTAATTTCATTTATAAATCATATAAATCGTTAATGGTTGTAATTTACAGTAAGAAACTAAGAAAAATCCTACTTAATAATAATTAAAAAAAAATGTTTATTATTATTTTTAAGTAGGATCTTGTTTATTTATTTGATTTTATTTATTTTAAAAGTCTTTCTAAAAGTGTTCTAACCAACATGTTAGCATGTCATTCATAGTACAGATACATTTCTTAATAAATAGCCTACAGTAAATTAAAACCATTACGTATGCTATATATATATATATATATATATATATATATATATATATATATATGTATATATATATATATATATATATATATATATATATATATATATATATATATATATATATATATGTTTTCACAAGCTTTGGAGACAAATAAATTCCACTTTTAAATAATACGTCACCTATAGCTTTTGTTTAGACCCACGGCTGCGTTCAAAATGTTTTTTTTAAACTATGGTTTTCGGAAATGCACCCCAGGTTAGCTAGCTGTTGGCTCCCTTCAACCACCCTCTTCACTAAACCCAACCGATAGTGTTTAAAAAAGCAATCCAGAAAAAGAAAAGCCTTCGAGGCTGTGTGATTTCACTACGTTTTCAGCCTATTGTTTATTTATTTTTTATAGCTTTTGTTTCACCTGCATTCTGGAACTGTTCTTCACAAATCCCGAACCCTGTCATCGCCTATCAACTTCACTTCACGTCCCAAGTCCATCTGTGTACGCAGCAAGCTACCAAGCAAAGGTAATCAGTCAGCTGGTAGCGCGATAAGGAACATAAGCCTGTATCGTTTGTTTAAAAGATGAAACCTCTGGCTGCATAATTCACACTCTCCAGAAATGTAGACAGTGGTACATATCCACAATGAGCCTGTGTTGCATTTTCGGCTCATTTCAGAGCATCGGTTAAGATGGTAAAGATATCTCTAGTTTATTTATATTCTATACTTGTCTAAGGTTTGACTCCTGACACTTACTCTCTCTGCGGGAGGTCTGATTCAATCCACCGGCCCATGACCACCTCTGCTGACGGATCTCAGCCCACGTTTTTTTGGTTGACCTCTTTATGGCAGATTCATACCGCTCCTGTGGAGGAAAACACATCATGAGATCACACTAAGTCCATTTTACATTTTAATAAAAATAGATTCACTTTAAGCCAAAACATTTAAGAGTCAATCAGATTTTTGAAATGTTTTTGCAAGAATTATCTATCAAAAAAAGGTAAATACAGTAAACTGGAAATTAATTACAGTTTCAAATGTATTTTGTGTGTTATTGATGGTTATTCTGCTGTGGTAACCCCTGATAAATAAGCAATAACTCTAAAAAATTTGATTGTTTTGTGTTAACAATATAATTAAAATACATTTTTAGCATCATCACTTCAGTATTCAATACCACATGATCTTTCGTAAATCATTATTAGCTGTTTTGATGCTCAGGAAACATTATTATCCAGATTTATTTATTATTTGGGGCCTAAAATCACTGATTTTGTGATGGCTTTTCTTTAAGGTCCCATGAAGTGCTTTAAATTGTGCACTTTTTATTCAATGTTTGATGTAATCTCAACAGAAACATGAAGGGCATACAGTAGCTCCTCCCCTATAAAAAACAGCCAATGGTGTTTGGTTTTTATCACAGCTCTGCCAGCAGTTGAGCTCAAGTGCATCAAATGAAAAGAATATGCCAATTGTTTTGAAGGGGGCGGGTCAGATACTAGAGAGCATTTGATTGGTCAAGATTTGATGAGAAACTGAAGTATGAGGTGACGTGAAAAATATTGTTGATCCATTTAGGTTATTACATTTTTGCTTTGCTTTGAAAATACACAAAAAAATCTTGTAAAATGTTACTTTATTATTTTTAGAAACCACTGAAAATCCATGAAGGACTAATAGTATATATATATATATATATATATATATATATATATATATATATATATATATATATATATATATATATATATATATATATATAAACTTTTGTACCATTATGAATCTCTTTATTTTCACATGACTAAAAAAAAAAATCATTCTGACCCCAAGCTGTAGCATGATATTATTTTACAATTTAAAACCTAATCCATGCACTTTAACTTGCTTTAATATTCAGTCATGCTGTGTAAACGAAGATTGTGTTTGCATGTTTCCACACCTTGTTCTTCTCCAGTTTCTGCCTCTGTTTCTCCTCCAGCAGAGCTCTTCGTTTCTCTGTCTTCAGTCGTTGCTCCTCCAGCTTCCTCCTGCGCTCCTCCAGCTGACTCTCACGCAGCCGCCGGGCCTTCTCCTCCTTCTCCAACCACTGCGCTTTCTTTGCCGCTGAGAGAGAGAAGATAAAGAGTTTTCAATTACTTTTATATCACTTTGGTTTGGTTTTTCTATCTGATAATGATTAGGAATAACTGGGCTTCTATCACTCTGTGTTAATGCGCGTTTTGAAGTATCACATAATAAATAAGTGATGGAAATGCCAAATCGCGAATACAAATCCCTTAATTTGCAACAAAGTTTTTATGCTTGCTTGAGGTGGGTTTGAACTTGTGATTATTGGAGATGGAAACGCATTTGCAGAATAAATTTTAACATAGAGAACATTACAATCACATGACTAATTGGCAGAGCCAGACAGAATCTATGAACATTTTTAGCTATTTCTGTGCAGATTTTTGTAAAGAAATATTTTTTTTGTGGAATGATTTTGAGAGTATATATATATATATATATATATATATATATATATATATATATAATATGTAGTAACTAAATATTTAAAACATTAAATAAAAAATAATAACTTTTTAACTTTTTCTTACTGTAAGGTTTAAAGCGGAAATTCAATAAGATCCACTTAAATAGAGTCTTTCATATAAAATATCTACTATAATACAAAATATATGACTATACAAACTGCATTGTAAGTAAATCACACAAACTTTTGTATATTGTTCAATAATATTACTAAAATGTATAATAACACTGACTAAATATAGATAGGTCGATAAATATTTGGACATAGACACAATTCTAACATTTATGGCTCTATACACCGACACAATGGACTTTAAATGAAACGACCAGGATGTGCTTTAACTGCAGATTGTTAGCTTTAATTTAAGGGGATTTACATCCAAATCAGGTGAACGGTGTAGGACTTACAACAGATTGCATATGCAGATTGCCTCCCACTTGTTAAGGGTCCAAAAGTAATTGTACAGAATAATAATCAGAAATCAAACTTTCACTTTACTGTTGTAATTCCTACAGCGTTCACCTGATTTGGAGGTAAATACCCTCTAATTAAAGCTGACAGTCTGCAGTAAAAGCACATTTTGTTCATTTAATTTCAAATCCATTGTGTTGGTGTTTAGAGCCAAAAATGTTAGAATTGTGTTGATGTCCAATTATCAATGGGCCTAACTGTTTATATTGACACAAATATTTATATGTATAATTTATTATAAATTTATTATACTTATAATATTTACATTTTATAACATTTATATTATATTACAATTATTTTTATAAATAAATAAAAGTTTTGATTAGCTTTTAAGAAATATTTATGTTTATTTATTAGGTTTATTAAAGGGAAATATTTATTTAAAAATAGCAGGATAGTTTTATAGTAAACTATAAACAAATATTATTATCAATCCTTGCCCCATGAACATAAAGAAACTACAATTACGCACACACACACACACACACACACACACACACACACACACACACACACACACACACACACACACACACACACACACACACACACACACACACACACACACACACACAAAATGAACAAACAAACAAATGAATAAGGTTTTTGATTTGATTTTCAGGAATTCTATAAATGTATTTTTATGTGTAATTGCAATTTCATTTTGTTTATGGGAATAATATTTGTTTATAGTTTCCTGTAAAACTATCATGCAATTTTTTAGGTTTAGTAAACAAATCGAAATAAATGTATGATTAAATGAGATGTTAAAAATATCTCAGATAACAGGGTTCTTAGAGCTTTAATAACATTCTCTCAACATTCTTATAATAATGTTAAAAGAGTGATATTTTTTAAGCTATCTGATCTGTAATAACGTTCTCAAAATGTTCCTGTTGCATTTTTAAGTAACGCTTCATTGAATGTTTTCCTAAAATGTTTTAATTGGAAATGCTGTGATTGTTCAGAATGTTTAACGATTACATAAAAACCCCATTCTCATTATGTTCGAAATAAAAAAAATTATAACATATTCTTCATAAATTATGATTGGAAACTTCAGCTTATCTATAGGAGAAATTAGCTATGTTTCCATCAAAAAAAAGTTAACTAATTTTATGCGCAAAACTAGAATATAGCATAAAAGACATGGGAATAAAGCAGCGTTTCCATCCAATGAGTGGAAGAGAACAAAATCATCACTTCCTGATTAACTGGCAGCAAATATCAACATAAAAAATGGAATTTGCTGCAGTAGGAAAAGCTGCGTGAATCTTTTCCTTATTTAATAAACGACTTGCACCTCAGAAGACGATGCCGACATGCGATGAACGCATGCACATACTGGAATTTGTTCGGTAAAAGTGTTTCCATTGTAGTTTACGTGCATCTTTTCTTATCGAATAAAAAGTTTATCCTACTCAGTTATGTTTTTATGCACATTTTCAAAATTGATGCGCATCTTGGCATTTCCATCAACCGATTTCTTATGCGCATATGTAAAATGCACATAAAAATAGGTAGATGGAAACGTAGCTATTGTCTAAAAATAAAGCCCCATTTTTTACACTAATTTAACAAGATGACTTTTGCGCAATGGTTCGATCACACCTCTAGCTGTTGTCACTTTCCACCGAAAACCGAATTTTTATAAGTATAACTCAGCGCTTGAGAAAAATGAAATTGCTAATAAAACAGCATTTTTTCTCTCATGCCTGTTCGGTACAGTAGTTTGCCTTCAAAGACAATTAAAAGCCAATCAAAGCTCTTTACTTAAACCCCAAGCGCGCTGTGCGACAGCTGGATGCATTTCTGCTTGCAGGCCTGATTTAAGGAACACACGAGGCGTCACACTGTGGAATTTCCTGTTTTTCAGTCCCTCGACCAGAACTAAATCTACACACACGCAGCAGTCCAGATGGGATCTGAGTTGAGGAATACAAACACAGAGGAGCCGCTTCCATTCACAACACTGCCTCAGATCCGTGTGGGGCGACCCACTGTATTTACTTTACCCCGTTTTATGTTTTCAAAAGCACATCCGCTTTATATTGTAGGAAATGCACTGACTATATAATAATGAGATGAGCTGGGACTCTGATAAAGTTCAGCAAACACAAACAAGGCAAGAACAAAGAGGCTGTGTTGTATTGATTAACATCATATTGGAGAGAAAGCTGTTTTGGATTTTGTACTACAGTAATACTATGGTGAGATCTGAAAGATGACTATCTGTGAAGATCTAACGTAATGTATGATTTATATATATATATATATATATCACTTTAAGGATGTTAACTGCATGTTCAATTCTAATGGGTCAACATAAATAAATAAGACACCATGTTTTCAGATATGTTATTTAAGAAAACATGATTATTATGTTTTATTTTCAGAATTCAAGTAGAAATCAATATCTAGTGGAATAACATTGAACAAATGATAACATAAAACATAACAATATATATAAATTGCAAATGTTATTTGAACCAATTTTTATTACCTAAAAACTAAATAAATGAGAATAATTGAATTTGAAATTTGTAAGAAATGTTATATCAGACCTACAAGTGAAAAAGAAATTTCATAATATGCTTGTTTATTTTTATTAAATATTATATGTTTTAAATCAAATCAAAATAAATATTGAAAAATATAAATAATAATAATAATATTATTATTTAATATAATATAAAACAATCTAAATATCAATAATAATACTAATACTAATAATAAATAAACAATTATTATTCTAAATAATACAAGTAAAAAATTATAAAAACTATTTCATATAATAATAATAACAATAATATTTATGAATAAATAAATTAAATTATATATAATACAGTTATAAATAAATAATATATTTATAATCTAAATAATATAATCATAATATAATTATAAATAAAAAAATAATAGTAAAATAATATATAATAATATTTATTATTATATTTTCAATGTATAATACGTAATATTTTAGATTTATAATTTATAAAAAATTTATTTTAATTATTTTACTTCAATACTTCTGTTTTTTAAAGAAAATTACTCATTTCAAAACACATTTTTCTTGTATATTCATTAAAATGCATATTTATTTGAATTCAGATACACAATTTTTCTATTAACATCAATAGGGGAGCGCGGAGTAAAAAGCAACACGGGGTAAAATGTAACACACAATTTTAAGGTATTTGCTCAGGGTTAACCGTGGCATGCTTTCGAGGTTTTCACCACAGTGTCGGCTGACGTCCTCCTGCCAATTATTGAAAAAGTTCAGCAAAATTTGGATGAGAAACAAAGGAAAAACCTTTTTTTTGCAGCATGAAAGTATATTTTTTTATTTAAAACAAATCTGTGAACGTATGTTAGTGAAGTTTTATATTGTTGTGATTACCATCTTCCAGGTTAAAAGAACCACTTTGAAAGATGTAAAAAACACAGTGATTGCGAGCCAGTTTTGGGGAAATCACAACACAGCGGGGTTAGTTGTGACAGAGTGCTACAAATAAAGCACACACTGTTGGACAACAATTAAACCAACAAAATAATTGTTGAATTTTCAGTGTAATATTAAGACATTTTTATATAAAATGTTTTTTTAATAAAAAATATTTTTCAAATAGAAAAAAATAATTTTATTGCTAATAATGCAACTCAATGCATAGTGTAAAAATAGATAATAATTCAAATAAATCCAAATGTGTTTATTCAATAGATAGATAGATAGATAAATAAATAAACAACCAAATAAATAAATAAATAAATTAACAACCAAACAAACTAATTAATTAATTAATAAACAACCAAATAAATAAATAAATAAATAAATAATCAACCAAACAAGCAAATAAATAAATAAATAAACAAACAAATAAATAATCAACCAAATAAATAAATAAATAAACAACCAAATAAATAAATAATCAACCAAACAAACAAATAAATAAATGAATAAATAAACAAACAAACAAAAAAAAACAAATAAATAAATAATCAATCAAACAAATAAACAAATAAATAAACAACCAAATAAATTAATAAATTAAAAAATAAACAACCAAATAAATAAACAACCAAAAATAAATAAATAAACAAACAAACAAATAAATAAATAAACAACCAAACAAACAAGCAAACAAATAAATAAACAACCAAACAAACAAACAAATAAATAAACAAACAAACAAACAAACGCTGTGTAAAATAAAAAAATAGCAAAGCTGCACAGAAACCATAAGTCTGGCGATCATACTTTCAGTGCTCATTTGTAGGAGAGGTTTGTGTGTTGTTGGTGAAAAAAAATCTGGTTCATCTAACCCCATTACTTTGTTCATTATTTGGCCAAAATCAAAAAGTGTTACCTTGTGCTCCGCTCTCCCCTACACTCGTCCATGTTTGCCATTTAAACTGCTACAGGGCAGAGATGTAGATGACCTCAGCTCTGAATAAGCATAATGTAACTCTGACTTCCTCTAAATCCAATTACATTAAACCCTTCAATCCTTTAAAATTATATAACAATTCCAATTCTACATCCTTCAAAATAAGAAGATCTCAGCCATCATTTAAAACCGCCGGTCTCAGCTGCAGCAAACCGCTAGCTAGCTTACCAGCGCTTGCTAATCCTATTAGCTTCATACAATATGCTACATGACAGCGCAAATGAAAAACTAGATTTGATTCTCAGTGTGCAGCAGAAATCCGGCATTACGCTGCTTCTTTCAGTCTAACAGCTGAGCCAGGTTTATGTCTTTGTATGCTAGTGTTTGTCGCATCCCAAGCAACAATAAACCCTTTATGTAAAGCCCACAGATGCGGTGCATGACTGGACGTGTCCATCCGATAACCAGTTGCCCAGAAACTGAGGTTTATCTGCATCTCTCCAGCTGAAAGTGAACTGATAGCCAAGCAGGCTAATCATGCTAATGGCAGACGTAATTACAGCTAATCTGAGAGAGCGGCATGGCTAAATGAACTGTAATGATGGCACATTTTTCACCCTGTGCCTGCGGGGATCTATCAGATAGTTAAAAGTAGAGAATGTGAGACACATGCTGTGATTTATAAACACTGTGCTCATGGAAATTATGAAATATGTATGATTTTTTTTTACATTCTTACAGATTTGTGGTTCTGCGGTTGATGTTAAAATTGTTCCTGATGTAAATCAATGTCAGCGTTAAAGAGTACAGCTCAAAATTAGACACAACCTACAATTTGGGTTTGTCAGTACACATTTGGAGGTCACTGCTTAGTCCTTTTTGAAGGTTTCCTAATAGTAATTTTATTTCATGAGGTTCATTCATTCATTTTAATTCGGCTTAGTCCCTTTATTCATTAGGGACGCAACAGCAGAATGAATTTTTAATTATTAATCAGGGGTCGCCACAGTGAAATGAACCGCCAACTTATCCAGCATATGTTGTGGCTGGAAGGGCATACGCTGCGTAAAACATATGCTGGATAAATTGGCGGTTCATTTCGCTGTGGCGACCCCTGATTAATAAAGCAATAGCAAATCCAAGGGCCCCCTTTTATTTTTTTACCTCACAAAAAAATAAACAAATTAATTAATTAAATAAATACAATTTATATATATATATATATATATATATATATATATATATATATATATATATATATATATATATATATATATAATTTTTGATAAATAAAAATGTTTTCATAATTAATATTTAATTTAATATTTTAAATATTAATGTCAATATTTAATTTAATATTTAAATAAATTATATATATATATATATATATATATATATATATATATATATATATATATATATATATATATATATATATATATATATATATAATTATTTAATTAATTAATTATTTTTTTTTTGTGAGGTAAAAAAATAAAAGGGGGCCCTTGGATTTGCTATTGCTTTATTAATCAGAGGTCGCCACAGCGAAATGAACCGCCAATTTATCCATCATATGTTTTACGCAGCAGATGCCCTTCCAGCCACAACATATGCTGGATAAGTTGGCGGTTCATTTCACTGTGGCGACCCCTGATTAATAATTAAAAATTCATTCTGCTGTATATATATATATATGTATGTTGTTCTTGTTATTATTATTACTATTATTAATAATTTACTAATTAATATTATTATCTAATTTTCCACTATTTGATTTATATTTATTATATATTTTTTTCTATTTTATTAAAATAGGCCTGCAAGTAGGTTATACAAAGTAATGACATAATATGAACTTTCAAGTTCAAACAGGCTGCAAAAATCAGCAAAACAAAAACATTTGCATTGTTTCCTAAATTATTGCTTTATAATGAACGCTTTAAATAGGATTTACCTTTAAAAGGTTTTTTAGAGATTTAAATATCTATCGATAGGATATCTTTAAAATCCATGCTTCTAATATCAAAAATATCGTGGTCTTCTGAGTTACAGTAGGCTATAGCATCCTTATTATTTTATTTAGTTTGTTTATTTATTTATTAATGCATCGGATATATTGTCTGATGAAAGCCAATGCCAATATTTCATTGCTTCATATTATTTCTGTTGTTTTCATAAAAGGGGCAAAGCAAACATTCATTAAAAAAAAGTTTGCTTTCTGTTTCAGCTAGACTTGAATCGATTCAGTTGTTCCGAAACAGAGATTACAAATGTTACATTGTTGCTCTTTGCTCTTGGAGCGGTTTCCTTTCACACTGCAAAGTTTCTAATCGGACCAAAAGAGCTAAAACAAGTCACGTGCGAGTAAACTCTCCTTACATTGGTCAGAGTGTCAGGGTTTATTTTGCAGCGTCCCGCTAAGTTGTCAGGAGAGGTGGTTGTTTGGTGGTGATTGACAGGGTGCGCGCGTGACGTGGTGGTGTGGTGGGAAAGGGTGAGAAGGGTGCGCATCGATGCCTATTTGAGGACCGGGAGGGAGACGCGAGATTACTGGGAGATCATCACTCGTTTGCGGGCATCCGGAGACTCGCGAAACTTCCTGCCATACTCATAATTCTCTCTTCATATAGCTATATGCCTATTACATATCCATAAAACCCAGTGATATAACCGTGCTCGGATCGGATCGCTTTCTCACTGCAATCGAACCGCTCCAGGGTTCGTTTCAATCGAGCCGAGACCACCTCATTCAAGCGATTTCGGAGCGATTATTTTGGCGCAGAACAGAGCGCGATTGCCCTGTTCACATATGCCAAACGAACCGCGCTAACTGAGCAACCAAGACAGGTTCCGAAACAAAAGTGTAAGTGTGAAAGCACCCTCACTGTAAAGCATAACCGAGTGTATTTACTTCAGATACATACTTCTAAAATATGGACATTTTTTTTACTGCTTGTGTAGGATATTTGATTTGTTTGCGCACTGTGTCGGTTATATTGTGTGATGTATTGTAAAGGCACATTGGTTTATAAGTCTGTAACAGCCGCGTGGTCAAGACTGCGCTTCGGTTATGAGTCCATTCAGCATGATTCTGGGAAAATTGGGACATCTGATCACCCTTATGGGTGACTAAAACAGGGCTATTTAATATTCTGATTGTGCTACAGCCACTCCAAGCCCGAGTTTACCACCGGCGTCGCTGATTGTACTGTTTTGAACAGCAGCGAACCAAAAGGAATACTTACATTATCGACGAGAGAAAAGCGTAATGCGAGGAGGCGTTTCCCGCGTCATACCGCAAATGAATTATTGAGCCAATCCAGGGCCCCCTTCTTCCATGGGCCCTGGGGCTTCAATATACAACATATACAGTCATTAGGTGGATCACATTAATTCATTTAAAGAAATAATGACAATTTAAATAATATGGCCAAAGAAATACCACATCAAAGTGAACACAACCAAATGAGAAAAACAGCACAGAGCCAATGTGAATAAACATGAAATAAAAGGAGATGATTCATTAAATCACAGTATTGACCGGTGTGGTATCTTACCTTGCTCCTGGGTTCGCTGTTCTGCAGCAGTAAACACAAATCACAAGCACATCTGTCAATCACATCAGCCTGCGCCTCTAAATGACTCCCGCGTCTCGCTCAACATCATTACAAACCAGTCGGCCTTGCACTCGCAGTTAAACTTTGATTACTTAATTACAAACTGTTTCACATGGGAATTGTATATAATTGGGTTAACTGTTATTTGGCCTCACACTGGCTTATGCTGTGTGTGTATATTTTGCTGTACTCCAGCTCCTTCTACAGTAGATAAATGTTTTGTGTGGTATAACCATGTTATTAGCTCTACAGGGCTGAACGTGTCCCGGGACAAGAGTTGTGTTTATTGTGCCTCACCCAGATATTTGGCCCGTTCCTCTCGCCGCTTCTTGGCCTGTTTCTGACGTTGTTCTGAACTCACGGCATCTGTCGGAACAACAAAAATAGTAGATGATGATATTTTAAAATGTAGTTTAATATCTTTTAGATCGTATTAAACACATAACACTGATAGTAGATATTTGAGAACATTTTTAGAGATAGCAACCAATGGCATTTGACCAATAATTTACAGCTCATGTCTATATTTAAAATGTTAAAAATAATTCTTTAGGGACTTCTGGTTAGGTGAGCTATGGAGTAGTTCATTACCGCTGTAGCATGTTTTCTATTTCCATTAGATAGAAAAAACAAAAAGTAGAAAAGTGCAAAATCTTAAAATGTGCACAAGATCCAGTGTATTTTCCCACAATGTCACATCTTAAAGGCACAGTATGTACTTTTGCCACTAGAGGGCGTGTATTCGCAACAAACAAAGTTGTATTTTGATGACACTGTTACTGAGTCTGGATTCATGGAAGCTCCTGAATCATGGGAGAATCCTGGAAGGGCATTTGTTGCATAAAACATAAGACAGAATATATTGCAGTTCATTCCACCATGGCATGTTTTCATGTTCATTAGACTGAAAAAAACAAAGATCCAAAATCCACAGTCCAAAATGAGGACAAAATCCAGTGTTTTTGCATACAGTGTCAGATCTTTAAGGCGCAGTATGTACTTTTAGCCACTAGAGGGCGTGTATTCACAACAAACAAAGGTGTATTTTGATGACACTGTGACTGAGTGTGGAATCATGGGAGTTCCTGAATTATGGGAGAATCCTGGAAGGGCATTCGTTGCATAAAACCTATGACAGAATAATTGGCAGTTCATTCCACCATGTCATGTTTTCATGTTCATTAGACTGAAAAAACAAAGATTTAAAATCCACAGTCCAAAATGTGGACAAAATCCAGTGTTTTTGCATACAGTGTCAGATCTTTAGGGCGCAGTATGTACTTTTAGCCACTAGAGGGTGTGCATTCACAACAAACAAATGTGTATTTTGATGACACTGTGACTGAGTGTGGAATCATGGGAGTTCCTGAATCATGGGAGAATCCTAGAATTTACAGCATAAAACATATGACAAAATAATTGGCAGTTCATTCCGCTGTGGCATGTTTTCTTTTTCAATAGACAGAAAAACAAAGATCCAAAATCTAAAGTCCAAAATGTGCACAAGATCCAGTGTTTTTGCCTGTAGTGTCACATGTTAAAGGCGCAGTATGCATTCACAACAAACAAATGTGTATTTTGATGAGTGTGGGATCATGGGAGTTGTCGTCTTTGTTTTATTTCATGGGACCCATGAAATAAAGTATTTAACACTTATTATGATGGAAAAACAGACCAGAGGTTTAGGGTGTGTGACGTCATTAGCATAAACACACATCACACACTTCATCTGACTAGCTAAATTTGCTTATTCATCTCGATTTGAACATTCTTTAAAACATCTGTGATAATACAAGTGCATAAATCAGCAAAATATAACACTGTTCTAGTGTTTTTTGGATATTTTAATAAATAATCTTACATGTTTTGCACATAATTGCAGAGATACTTGAACCCAAAGCATTGAATGCTCATTTGATTCTACACATGCATCATCCATGTATTCTCCCCAGTTAGCACGTCCTCCTTATAATATAATATACATGCAATGCTTTGCCAGTGAATCAAGCTGTTGCTATGGCAACCGGTCTGCCCCGCGCCCACCATCAAAAGGGCTTCACTAAGCCTGATACACTCGAGACTGTTCGAGAACACTTATCAAACCTTCCCCAAACACACACTCACACAACAAGGTTCCCTCGGCGCTTTGATGCGGGTTTCCACGTCTCGCCCTCTTCATGAACAATGACTTGGCTTGTGGCTAGGGTTGTAACAATATACCGGTATGACGGTCTACCACGATTTGAACGTGCACGATTATCATACCATGAACAATTGCATATCAACGGTTTTAACCCTTAAAGACCGAGACAGTCGCCCGCGGCTAAAAATAAGTATTGCTCTTAAATGTTTAATAACTTTTGATCCGCTGATCCGATTCATACAATTCAAAGATTGGCATAAAGAAGAGAATCAGTGCGGTTACGTCATCAAAATTTGACAACGCTGATTTGACAAAGAAACGCTCGTCACTGTGTCTCCAGACAAACCAGACATGATACATTGATGCATTATCCCTCCTCCATGCCCAGATTGGTTCAAACTCGCTATATCATAACCAATAAGCATAGGTTTCGCTTTTGTTCGTGGACCAACACTGAGCTTTTTGAACAACACGGAATGAGAGATAGGCATACATTTATGTGCGGCTAAATAAAACGCAAAAAAAAGAGTTTTGCATGAAATAATTCTCATACAAAGTACTTTTGCATGCACAGCAGCACAGAAACATGACAAAACAGTGACACAGCAAAGACGAACTGCTGCTCTTGCTGTTTTCAAAAGACGCAAATGAAGGTGCAGCTGTTTATCTGCATTGCAGACAACCATATCCAAATCCATATCCGCAGACAACCATATCCATGCTGGCACATAAAACCTAAGGATGTTCCATATTGAATCTAGTTTCGTTATGTAACTATTTATAGTATAGTAAATATTTATATCTATTTTTTTACTGAGGATTTGCACCATGTTTATTTGGACTTTGACACATTATTTATTATTTTCTTATTTTTTTATTTGTTCATTGTAAGTGGTGTTGTTTATAGTAACTGAAAATATATTATTTGGAAAAAGTCAAATTTGCTTCACTTTTCTATTATTTTGTAACATTTTTTTTCTGTTTAGTTCATTCCCAGACCTTTTTGGGCAAATACATTGTCAGTAAATAAATGCATTTTTTCCCCCATAGAAAAACCTTTGTTCAGTCAGAAAACGTGTTCTTATTCTTTTCAGGGTCTTTGCTATGAGAATTACTATTTAATACCGTATACCGCGAAACCGTCAAACTGTGGTATTGTTTTAGACGATTATCATACCGTAAAAAATTCATACCGTTACAACCCTACCTGTGGCCATGACTGACAAATTTAGAAATGGGTGTTTTTAAAGCCTGTCTCTTTAAACCCACGGACACTCACATGTATGCGCTCTGCTATGAGAGAGTGTCGTTATTTATTATTGTATGTTTCGTCCTTCTGCTATATGAGTTCTGATGATTTCATTCATTCATTCATTTGCTTTTCGGCTTAGTCCCTTTATTATTAAGGGGTCACCACAGTGGAATGAACCGCCAACTTTTACTGCATATGTTTTTTACATAGCAGATGCCCTTCCAGCTGCAACCCATCACTGGGAAACATCCATACACATACACTACGGACAATTTAGCTTACCCAATTCACCTGTACCGCATGTCTTTGAATTTGTGGGGGAAATCGAAGCACCCGGAGGAAACCCACGTGAACAAGGTGAGAACATGCAAACTCCACACAGAAACCCCAGTTAACCCAGCTGGGGCTTGAACCAGTGACCTTCTTGCTGTGAGGCGACTGTGCTACCCACTGCGCCAACGTGCTGCGTTGTTCTAATTTCTTTTTAATTATTATTTTATTATTATTATTTTTTTTATTTACTACAATTTTTTTTTTACTTAAATCTATTTTTGTAACATAATCATCAAGGATTTGTCCATTTATTTTAATAAATACTGCTAAAATGTTTAAGAAATATAAATCTTGTCGGCGGCAGTAGCCTAGTGGTACTGCGCGCTGACATATAGCACCAACGTGCTCATGGCGACCCAAGTTCGATTCCCGGTTCGAGGTCCTTTGCTGATTCTTCCCCTCTCTCTACTCCTAATGCTTTCCTGTCTGAATTATCTAATGTTCTATCATAATAAAGGTGAAAAAACCCTAAATAATAATAATAAAAAAAGAAATATATATCTTAAAACAGTGACTTCACAAAAGTAACTGTATTTTTACTTTTGCAAAATAATTAATTTTCATACTATAAAAAAATTGTGTTTGTGGCTTCAGTGTATTGTGAAAAAAGCTAATATTACTTTAAACATACTTTTCCTTCCTTTTAATTTACAATAAAATTAATGCTAATATAAAAATGCAATGTAAACACATATGGTTATTCTCTCAGTTTAGTAAACAATTTTAGTAAGAGAAAGTCAGGAAGGCTGTGTTTATTTTAATGAATAATGACATATTAATAGCATTAAAATAAAATAAATGACAAGTAATAGGACAATAATAAATTTAATAAATATTAATAGAATATAACAAAAAATATTACACACAATCAATTGTCATATTTATTATTTTAATTATTATTAATGCATCTTTTTTTAGTAGTGTTATTGACATATTACAATTTGGCTTAATATATTTGCATTATTAAAAATAATGTTATTAAAAGTTTTATTTAATTTTTTGTTTGATTAATTATTATTTTTAAATACTTAATATATATTTAAATACATTTTAAATATTATTAAAAATGTTTACTACTCGTTTATTAATTTTTCTTTATTTATCAGTCCCTTTATTTATCAGAAAGCTCATTAAAATACGTATAGAGAGAGACATAAGCAGTGCATTGTACCTTTTTTTGCCGTCTGGTTGGGACTGGATCCAGGTGTGCTGGGTCTTGGGTCAGATTTGATTGGCTCTGATTTTGAGGGTGGGTCTGTGATGAGGGAGGAGTCTGTGACTGTGGTGTCGTCAGCTTTCAGGATCTCACTGTCCAGCTCAGTGTCTTTCTGAAGCGTGCCGCTCGTCTCTGGAGGAGAAGTGAGGACTGCAGAAGAGAGAAAGAGAAATAAAAATTGATATTTATTCATTCATTTTCATTCAGCTATGTCCCTTATTTATCAGAGGTCGCCAGAGTGGAATGAACCGCCAACTATTCTGGCACATGTTTTATGTCGCAGATGCCCTTCCAGTCAGCAATTCTTATTGTTATCCAACAGTTTATTTATTTTTAAACCTTTGAGTCAGATGAGCTGACTCTTCTATACGTGGGTTCTCAACCAAAAATACGATGAAGCGACATAAGAACCGCTTCCCTCATTTACATGTTTAAGATTGAAACGTAAAAAGAAATCCAAGCAAAAAATAAAAATACACCAACAAATATGTAAATAAATAAATGTGGTTAAATAAAAAAAAATAATAAGCTTAAAAAATTATACAGGGTGGGCTATTTATATGGATACACCTTAATAAAATGTAAATGGTTTGTGGTATTAACGTCCTGTTTGTGTCTCATTAGTATATGTGAGTGGGCTTGCAAATAACTCATGAAAGAATAAAGTTACGTTAAAACCAAGCACACCATTGTTTTTCTTGTGAAATTCCCAATAAGTTTGATTGAGGTGTATCCTTATAAATAGCCCACCCTGTATAAATAAAAATATTATATGATTGTAATGAAAAATATGTATAAAATATAGGAAACAATTAAAAGATTAAAGGTTAAGATTAAATTATCTATCTATCTATCTATCTATCTATCTATCTATCTATCTATCTATCTATCTATCTATCTATCTATCTATCTATCTATCTATCTATCTATCTATCTATCTATCTATCTATCTATCTATCTATGTTTTGCCTTAAATAATTTAAATTAATGCTGATATACACTCACCGGCCACTTTATTAGGTACACCTGTCCAACTGCTTGTAAACGCAAATTTCTAATCAAACAATCACATGCACCTCTGGCTGCAGCAGGCTACTTCCAACAGGATAACGCACCATGTCATAAAGCGTGAATCATCTCAGACTGGTTTCTTAAACATGACAATGAGTTCACTGTACTCAAATGGCCTCCGCAATCACCAGATCTCAAACCAATAGAGCACCTTTGGGATGTGGTGGAACGGGAAATTCGCATCATGGACGTGCAGCCGACAAATCTGCAGAAACAGCGTGATGCTATCATGTCAATATGGAGCAAAATCTCTGAGAAATATTTCCAGTACCTTGTTGAATCTATGCCACAAAGGATTAAGGCAGTTCTGAAGGAAAAAGGAGGTTCAATCCTGTACTAGTGAGATCTACCTAATAAAGTGGCCGGTGACTGTATATCTAAAATATGAATCTATAATAATAAATACATATAAGCCTACTAATATTAAGTAGCATTTCTGTCACTTGTGGGCATAAACACAGAATCTGCAGGAATATTAATACAGTAATAATACATTTCCCAGTATGCATCATCAGATTTTTACCTGCAGAAATGATCTCTCTCTCTCTGCTTATTCACTAACACGCACTTCAGCCCCATTAGCAAGCCATTAGAGTCCCGATCACACTTTACTGAAAAGTAAAACACCATAAAAACAGCATGTGATCTCCCTCCCGCAGGATTTCCCCATCAGAGCATATCATTATCCTCTTGTGCATCCCCTTTCTCCGAATATACACCTTAAGGAATCACTCGCATCCCTAAAGTCAATATCTGTGCTGTTATGAACATCCATACAAAATTCAAGCCATGTCATAAGGTGTCATAGATATATACACTAGATGTCGCCTGGCCTATTGTTGTCTATTGGACGGAATGCGTCAATAGCGCCGCCATCTTGCTACAGGGTAGCGTTCCTTTGAAATGAATGCGGGACCAAGGTACAGTGGAGGACTGTGGCCATCCAAAGCCAGAGATATACATATATACACATATATCTATGATCGGGAGTTTTCCTGGATGTTAGTATGTAATTTTTTTTTCTAATTAAGATAATTATAATTTTACATCACTTTTCTACATTGATGGATCAGTGACCGCACGGGCATTCCTGACAAAAAGCTTGTGTTTGTGTGTACAGAAATGTATTATCCAGCCTCCCTGTTAAATTTAATATAATCCGTGTCCTGAAACACACCTCCTCTCCTGCTTTCACTTCTCTTACTGACGGAGAGAGCGATTCGTTTGTGAATGAATCCCCCGAACGACTCTTTCACTAACGTTAGCCGACAATAATACAAGTTTCTGGCGGCGCAGCATCTCGTTGTCATATTTCTTTTGCATTGTTTGCTGATTTAATTCAACAAAATTAGCATAAGCCGAGTGTTTAGTGCGAGTTGGAGCTGCTTTGCCGTATGGTGAATGCAGTAAGTGACTGTTATCATCAATAACGTTACCTGATTAGCACAAAAGTTCATACAAAAACAGAAAAAAACTTAATATTACCTATGAAATGTTCTGCCTTTGTGCTTTGATTTCTTTTTTTGCTCGTTACTACACCCATAGACAGCGCTAAAGTCCCGCATCTTCACGTAATCACACTGTCTGACTAGTGCGGTTGAATGACATTTGTCCTGGGAGCCCTGTACCAATGTGGCGGCGCTATTGACGCATGCTGAGGGTCCCTATGCGATATCTAGTGTATATATCTATGATAAGGTGTAAGCTAACTTAGCGCTTTCATTATTTTAATGCAAGCCTTAAACCGTCCCCCATCCTCAACATAATGGATTTAGAGGATTAACCCAATGCTGTTTTGAAGAAATCCGTGACTGCTGCCCTTCAGACGAGTTTCTATAATGATCTTGGCATGAATCTAATTAGATACCAGGATCAGTAGTGACCGCTCATTTAACAGCTGACTAAATATGTTTATTCTCTTCGCTTCAGATGCAGGAAGAGCTGCAGAGACGTGCAGAGACATGCTGGAGTGGCGCAAGACCCTCCGGAGAGGCTGTTTGAAGGGTATTTACAGGCCTGGTGGTCTCGAATCAACAGCTTCATCTTCGTTTCAAACAGACAGAGAGAGAGAAACGAGGACAAAATGCCATTTTCATCTGCACCAGCTAGATGCATGAAGAAATTAGGCTTATTATTTAACCTCTGCTATTATTTTGGGATTTCCGCCTGGATTTTGCCTACTTACATTTAAAAGCTTCCCAAATCCACATGCAGAGGTGTAAATGCAAAAATTTGGTATAATTTTAAAGAAAACATTTTGAATTTTCATAAAACACTATTGAAAGTGTTTAAAATAACTGTATATGTTGTCTGTGTCATAATAAACACCTAAAAAAAGAGGCGCTTCTTGTATTTGTTTGTTTTTTAAACTCAAATTTGAAAGTGTATCTTTTAGGTTGTGTGTGGTCTAGGGTGCTGTAATTAATTTTGTTGGTTCCTGCACATGTTTGTGATCATAGAAAAAAAGAAAAATGTCTCTACCATAATCTACGCAAAAGTTATTGTATTCCAACTGATGAGAGGTGCTGTACAAGCCACAGGGAGCGATCATTGTTTTCATTTTTCACTATTCTTTTGTTTGATCAAACATAATTTACTGTGTTTGGACCACGTCAGACATATAAAAGGATTACTTATGCACATCACCTCAAAAACAGAGGAGAAAAGCCCTGAAGCGCACAGCATAAGGTAAGAGATGACAGCTGTCTGTGCTATCTGGGGCTGCTTATTGATCATGAATGTATTGTTTTTACTTCTGCGCCATGGAAACACAGCGATTCATTCAGCAACTGTTTGATATGTGAATATAATTCAGTAAAAAGGATGCTAGAACCATATGAGCACCGGCAAGAGCTTTCATTTGAGCTCTAACTTGTACATGTGTCATATGAAAAATATGAAAATGAACCAATGTTCAATACCCAGCTCGGGTCTCCAAAATACTGTGTATTTAAGTGTAAATAACTTTTGTACAGTCGAATAAAAACCAATGTGATGCATATGTGCATAAAATATAGATTCTACACTTTCAAACAAAACCACTTACGGGGGTCTGGTGCAATGTTAGCCCTTTAAATCTTAAAGCGAATCAAGTCGATGATGTCACGGACCTGGGTCCTCAGAGTTTATTTGGTTATGGCAAAGATGATATTTAATAGTTTGTTAATAGTCACAACTAGGGGTGTCACGATTTTGATTTTTAATCGAAATCGATCGAAATTTATGCTCAATTTCGATTATCGAATCAAAAAATAGAATCGTCGATGCTGCCACGCCCCCATGTCACGTCAGCTTGGCTTTTTTTTTTGGGAAAAATAACAGGCTTGTTGAAGTGCTTGTTAAACTGTGCAGACGCAGGAGACTCGTCGACAGAGCTTAAACCCTCTCCTCTTTCAATGAAGTCGCCGGTGTGTAAGCATTTTGGATTTCCAGTGAGTTATGTTGACAACGTTCGTGTTGTCGACAAAAAAAAAAACACAGTTTTGCAAGCTCCGTTATGTACGTATTACGTATGGTTCGTCCGATAGACAACACCGGCATCGCGACAACGATTTGACATCCACAGTGGCGTGTAGAATTCCTTAGCAGCCCTCCTTCCTCTCTACCTCTGAAAATGCACATCACGTGACCACACAGACACAGACGCACACGCAGCCATGCGCTCGAGACAGCAGGTCCAGGCAGTCAGAGGACTGCTTCAATCTTTCACTCACTTGTACTTAGTCATTTTAGCGAACACCTCAGATACTGTTGGCTGGTTCCTGTTGGTTGTGCGTCTTTTTTACCGACGCCATTATAACGACACAGATCACTGCCTATTCACGAGTCCCGCAAAAAAAGTGATTGACAGGTGGTAATTATGTGTGTATCTTGCCTTTATTCATTTACTGTATGATTTGCTATGGGTAAAACAAAGACCATGCAGGTCAGGTAGTTTAAACGGTAGGCTACAAATAATGAATTGGTCATTAATTAATTAATTATTCATAATCGAAAATCGAATCGTGCCTTTAGAATCGAAAATGTAATCGAGGGTTTGGAGGATCGTGACACCCTTAGTCACAACTGTACATTAAAAT